CCGTCACCACCACCACCACCCATACGACCACGACGACGCTCCGCCTCGCGATGTGGCGGCCTGATGCCCACAAACACCTCCTTTCCGCGATCGACAAACGAATCTGCGTCCTCGAACGTGTACCGGTTGATTTCGTCCTCGCGGCCCATGTCACGGTGGCGGTCGCGGGTGTAGAACGACCGCATGTTTGACAGACGGCGCTCGGCAAGCTCGGCATTGACGGGTCTGTAGAGCAGCGACGGGTGGGCGCGAGTCGCCTTCATTTCGTCCCCTGTAAGTGCAGGCTGGGGCACACGGCCACCGCGGCCACGGGGGCCTGAGGGTGCGCCTTCGATGCCGGGATGTTGTACGGCCGGCGGCGGGGCCGGAGGGAATGACTGGGGGAGGGAGGGGCTCGCGGGCTGATGATACCGAACCACGAGTAGTAGAGCCAGCAGCGGCCACGACGGCTGGCGCAGGCTCGAGCTCGGCATTAACGAGGCGGGTGGTGATGTCGCCGGTCTTTTCGTCACACTCGTACCGAACTTCCCACCGGGCGAGATTGCCGCGGCCGCCTTCGGATTGCTCCGTCTCCGCCCACTCGTTCACCCTGTCAGGAGGGATGAAATCCACCCACAGCTCTTTACGATTCCGCTCATTAGGCCAAATCTTTCCGTGCAGAGCAACACGAGCGCGCGCGGCAGCCGCGACGGAGGTGAAGCTTACAAAAGCGTGGGTTTTTATGTGATCGAGGTGGAAATCCTGAACGGAGTCTGGGTCCCGCAGGCTGCCCGGGGGCGCGGCGAGCTCTTCGAGGTATTGGCGAAGAAAGTCAGGGCGGAGCGGTCTCATGAGGTTCTTGATGTATAGCGCTTGGGTGGCGGGGTGTTCAGAGGGGGCAACGTCTCGCTCGTCAATGTCCATGTCGGCCTCGTACTTGACAGCGCTCCGGTCGTACGCTGCCCGGTCGGGGGATTCTTGCTTGAGGTCGGCCTCAGTCTTTACATGGTCGCGAGACTCCTCCTCTTGGCCACGATAGTTCGAATCGCGCGGTTCCGAAGCTTTGCGGTGCTGTGGTGCGTCGGGCATCTCAGAAACCTCCTTTGAGTCGGCGACGTGGGGAATCTCGGCGTGGATAGTGGCGTAGGAAGCGTCTTTCCCGCCCTGCTCGTCATCGAGGGGTAGCACTGTTTCGCCGGGTTGACCTTCAAGTCCACTCATGCGTGTGTCTTCGTCTTCTTGCTCGGTAGGGCGTGCACGCTTCCTAGACGTCTCTTCCTCCGGAGGGGGGCTGCGAGATCTGCGCTTTCTGGTAGATGTATCTTCGCCGGTGAGTTCAGGAACCACGGGTGCAGATTCGGTAGATAAACTCTCGTCGGCCTTCTCCCCCTTTGCTTCAGTTGTGTCGTCTTTCGTCGCAGGAACATTGTTTGCTTCGGGCGCAGATTCTGCGGCGGACTCTTTCGTCGGCTCGTTTGATTCATCTTGTTTGTTGTCTGATTCTGTTTGTGTGGCGTCTTGCGTAGTGGTTGAGTTCTGTTGGGGGGCAACTGGCTCAGGAGCTGGGGACGCAGAGGCTGCTTCGGGCTGAGGTTCTTGCGAAGGAGCTTTCACGGGCGCCGGGGCAGGGCTGCCAGAGCTCTTTGTGGTTTCATCTTCGGGTGCGGTCTCAACAGCTTGTGCGCCGGGGGCCTCTGCTTCCTGTTCCAGTTCCTTGGTCTCTTCTTTGTCCTGTTCTGTTTCCTCCTCTGGCGGTGCGTCTCCTTCTTGTTGCGATGTCTGCGCCTCCTGGTCGTCGACAGTCAAGCGTTCGACAAGGTCGGCCTTCTTACCGGCCTGGGACAGCCCGCGGCGCTTGAGCTCTTGACGTAGGTCAACGACTGTGAGCTTGCTCCAGTCAGTCGTCATGTTAACCGTTGATCCAATTGCAATTGGCGTGTGCTGTAGGTATCTGATATGACAGCGTAAAATAGAAGTTTAGTGAAATTGGCTGTCTTTGCGGTGAATGAAGCCAGCGGCGAGCTTGGGACGGGACCTTTTTGGGATTTCAAATACCGGGGCGCGTCGCGAATGGTCAAAGAAAAGCAAGCAGCATCGGATTGGAGCCACCCACACCACCCACTGTGGTCGGCACCCCGACGCTCGGACTCCCCACCGTCGCTGGGCGCAAAACGAGTGGTCGCCCCACGGCAAACGGACGACAGGGTCCCCTCAGCTCCCTGCTACGCCCCGTTACCTAAGCACCGCCCCACAGTACGTACCTCCTTAGCTTCTCTGCATCCACAATGGTGACGTCGATCATAGGTTTCGAACAGACAACAACAATGGCTTCAAAACACCATTGGCTCTGCAATTGCATGGCAGTGTCACGATATGAGCCCTCAACTTCCACATCATATCTATGCCAATAAACCAATTGCAAATGCTACACGTCGACAAATCCGTCAGGTGTTTCATGTTTCCTTGTGCGCTGACATGGGAAACCCTTAGACATTACTCGACTGCATTGTCCAACCGTCCGAGCCAAGGATGAGTTGACTCTTCAAGATGTTGCTCAAACTGGAAGCGTGGGTGGATGGAGGACTCATGGCTTCAAAAATATCCAAAATTCATCCCATCCCCGCTGTTGAAAGTTGGGCATCAGGATGGTGACACAAACAGCTGCCTTAAGCCCCCGCCGTCAGCATGAATGCTCGCAAGTATCATTGTACCTGGGAGCGGGAAGGAGGCAGGACATGAACCGAGCCGAGATGGAAGGAGCCACCAAATCGGCAGGCACGCAGCCTTGTTAGTCGACTATATGGAAGGAGATGTCGAGTGGGATGCAGCACAGCATCGGACCGCATCAATCGTGACTTCCCTATTGTCCAGGCAACCGACTGAGTGGCACCTTCTCATTGAACCGCGTTGGCCACACTTCGACCAAAAATATGCCACTGGTCGGGTTGGGCGCCGACATCGTCAAATCCTGAGTTCCAACGAAGTCGTGAGGCTATCTCGTCATCGCCGAACCAATCATAAATTCCCTCCCTACACCTCTCTTCACGTACGGCGTTGAAGGCATTCCACCGGGTGTCGGAAGCGTGGCGCCCAAGCTTTGGCCGCACAACATCGATGTTGATGCCGGTGTTGCGGAAATCTTTTCGGCCCATGCTTGTCTCTTCCGACGCCATCACTGAAGAAGGACAACAAAGCTTACTTCCTGGTTTCATTCAGACTGCCTTCAAAACTCTCTTTCATCTAGACTACAGCATTGTTTTCGTTGTCCCGACTTCGAGACAAAGAAACCTCCACCTCCTAATCCGGACGGGAAAGGACGACCCCTCATCAAAGCCGACTGATCACAACTCGCCCATCCGCAAACACTCCAGTTGTCTCACTACCCTCCATCACATCGAGCATCGTCTTTCGAACAAAGAAGTCAACTGCAGGAGCACTTTCACCTCACATCCCCATTTTGGATCGCTTCAATCACCCTTCGATTTGGACCTATGGTCTTCTCTTCACTTTCACCTCACCCGAGTTTCAAATATTACATCAGAGAGTTCCGCGGAGCCTCGCGTTCTTTGGGCTTTTCTCCATCATTCCTCTTTTCTGTTCTAATTCCCTCCTTCTCTTCAACATGAAAATCACACCTCGAAAGTCAGGAACCCCGTACTATGCGCCCTACCAAACACGCGCAAGGAATATCCAACCTTCTGCCATGGCCACTCCCAGTCCCACTATCACCGACGCCGATGGTGATGTCGACATGTTTCTACTCCAAGCCCAGCTAGGCATCACCTCGCCAAGCTTCACGGAATTCTATTATACACCGGGCGATGACAGCAGCACAAAACCGGAGCTTTGTGGAGGTTATGTTGCTAGCAGAAACCCGACTACACCTCGTAGGATGCCGAAAGATTTGATTTACCCCACCATCGAGGTGGCCATATCGCCCTCCACCAAAGGATCCGAGACTGATGAGGCAGATTTCGATGAGGATGACGACTCCGAGATCGATTACGATGATGACAGCGCCGACGATGAGGATGTTGACGACAACCGGGGTTATCACAACGGCCGCACACCAGCCACCAGCAAGCTCTTGACACGCGGGTCGTCTCGTAATCCGGCGTATAGCAGCAACAGTAACTGGGACCAATATGAAGAAGTCTCTCGCCACCTGGTAGACTATGCTAAGGTCATAAAGAATGTCTCTGGATACGAGGAGTGGAATGAGGAGCAGCGCCACCTCCATAAACTCATCTTTTTGAGAGGTCTTCACCCGGTGATGCCAGCTTCATGGCGATGGAGCTTCAAGATGTGGGGTATTGCTGAGGGCAACCTTACCCAAGTCTTCGCGCCAGATGATAGCAGGAAGGAGGTTATCATCAAGGCCTATGGGAACGAACTTGCTGGTACGTGTGCTACTCCCACTATCATCTATATTCTACCAATTTATGCTGACCAGCTTGTCCTTCTCTAGCCTGTAAAGCACTCGAAGCGGTGTTCCTTTGCACCCAGCACATCTTAGACTTTGAGAGGCTCGGTCAACGCGAACTGATGGGACCATACACCGCCAAAGTCATCAGTCGCTATTGGAAATGGGCTTTGAAAGATGCGGGGTTGGACAAGTGCAAGTTTTCTCCGCTGCTTCTAGTGCTGGAGTACGAATACGACCGCAGGAAAGATTTTGCCCAGGAGCTTTCTGCTAGTGTGAGGAAGAGGGTTGAGGAAGCTGCCCAGCGTTGGTGCGAGGTGCTCATGAACGAGGACACTGGGGGGTACGTTGCGGAACCGCCCACCATTTTTATTTTCACCGTGGTTCAGCACACCCTCGTGCTGTCCACTTACGATGCTGCATCGCCAGAGCAAGGTGTCGTACAGATCGAAGAAGTGAAGTTCAACGCGAGAGGGCTTTGGCTCTGGAACTCACTCACCGTCGCCATTGCCGTGCACATGGCTCGGGATACATTGGTGCGGGCACGGAAATATGGGTTCATTCGCGAATCCGGTCGCAAAAGGGGCAAGAAGGCTGAGAAGGATCCTGACGCTTGAGAAGTTGACGTGGGCGAACGCATGATTTGGCGTTTGTGGTTATGGCATTCGCGACTTTTACAGTTCAAGTAATCCACGTCTTTTTTCACGGAAACCTGGTCGTAACGGAAGGATCTAATATGCTTGCTTTCGGAGATACCCTGTTACGGTTATTGCTGTTCTATCAAACCCCCATTCTCTCATTCTTCACATACTTGTTTTATGTTCTCATGGATTTGCAAGTAACTCTCCAGTTTACTACTCGCGAAAAGTTGATCGAAAGTTTCTGGTTTCGAGGACAGACGCCTTCCAATACTTCCACTGACTGATGGCTTGCTGGAACAACGTGGAGGGTGTATGTGCTTCAGCTACTTTGCCACTGCCTTCTTATACATTAGACGGGTCGTGTCTCTCACAAGATCGGGCATTATATAAATTTCCTCCTACACTCCATGATGGCGAGTGGGTTGGCATGGAAAACTTCCTTCCGTTCAGATAATTCATAGGAAGACACGTAATGAAAGAAAAGTAAGAGTCTGAACTTACCATACAAGTCCTTTAAACATCAATGGGTATCTTTGCACATGTAATATAAACCAGTCAACGTCAAGTGGTTGCTTGAAAACATAGCGTTATCTATACTGTGGACTCCCCTCAATGATTCTACAAACCCCATCCTAGGTGCATTACTAGGTAGTGCACCATAACGAATTTTTCTTGCAGAACTGCAGCACAAGACGTCAATAAGTACGAAGCCAATCACTGTAATGCTTTTTATGCACCCGTGTTCCTAATGCTATCGGAAAGCATGCCGGTTGGTTGGAGGACCTGGTGAGCTTGGTATACTGAGCCGAGGTGTTTTTTTTGAGGAACCGCGGATGGTATCTTAGGAACATCGTTGGATGAAAGGCTCCATTTTCTCTAGCTGGATAACGAAGTGAATGACACCAAATAGTGGGCAGGAGGAGAGGTACTTTTTCTCTACTGGCCCGTTACACACAGTAGTCAAGGAGCACAAGAGTCATGGCATGGCGTCAAGCCTGTCGTTAGTGGCCCGTAGTTGGGTTGATGATCATCAACAACCCGTCATTCATGATCCATCACGGATCTGGCCGAGAACACTACATGTACTCCAGAAAATCCGCACGTGGCTCGAAGCGGTGTCGTTTTGTTGACCTGTCAAGCGGGCGTCAACGAACGAAACGAAAGCTTTCCCGGGCTCCTCCGGATCAGATGGATTGGATTGTTAACGTGTTTTCCAAGGGACCTGCTTCGGAAAACAAATCAATCCACATGGAGAGTGGAGTCCGGAGATGGTACCAAGTGGGCCGAGAGATAAACTGATCCGTGATGCACAGCGGAATTGATAAAAAGGCTTGGCATGTACGACACATACAAAACGGCTGTACGGTACGGTTTGATGGGTTGATGGTGTTGATGGAAGGGGTCCACAGAAGACTCCGATCATGGGATGATCTTCGCTTCCCTTTTTTCGGGGCTCTAGAACTAGGCTTGAGGCTATCAGTTACTATCAGATCAGACAGATCAACCTAGGCTTGGGGCTATCAGCTACCATCAGATCAACGGCTGCTGGGGGTGGATGAGGTGATCGGTAGTGTTCACTAAGAAGCGAATGTGTCGGTCAGAAGATTAGATCAATCACTTGGGTTATTGATGGGCTGGTTGCTCAGGGGGTTAGGTAAAAATAGAGTGTTCTCTTTTTCTGTGGCCTCGAGTCGTAGGCAGTATTTGATGTTGTGGGAAACTTCGAGTTGGCAGTCGCTTACAGTCAGCAGAGTGATCTTTTGAGTTGAAGGAAGTCTTCAGTGATTCCAACTCGGAGAATGAAAGACTTGGCAGACTGATGATGAAGAGTGTGGAAGTCAAGTTGATGACGAGGTTAACGATCTCGTAACCTACAGGCGAAAATCCTTTCCATCACATGAACGAGGAGCATTGCTATTTTACATAATATTGGCTGACCACTACTAACTGTCGTGGACTGTCGTGGAATGTCCAACCTTAGTAAGGTTGTACGATGAGATGGGTGGTGTCCTGGGTGTATGCACGATAGGCCGATCAGGGGAGCGCCAAGGTTATCAGATTGAAGCGGTAGAGGCGGGAGTCTTCCCATCATCGAGGCGATGCCTACCAACCTCCGAGCCCGACAGTCGGTACGTAGCACCGCGACTGTTCGCAGCGTACTGAGTCTGATCTCGTGGTCCGTAACATGAGTAAAAATGTCCGTGGTAAGTAGAGCAAGCTCATACAGAAAGACATGAGGTCTTCGGCGGGAAACCGAGGAGCGATGCTTCGAAACCTGATGAGGATGGAAAGAAACACCACGGAAATGTAAATAAACGAGGGTTGACAAAGTTGCATCATGTAAAAATACAAAATTGGCCGGATTACAGACCCGTCACTGCGTTCCCGTACCCAAGGGCATGCTCAGGAACCCCGGTCATTCTCATCTAAGCCCTGTCTGCTGACATTGCGCGGCATTCTATTGGTCAGATTTGGGTACCTTGTGGGTCACTTCTTTCCTTTACGGCATCTCCCCAAGTCGACCAGTGACACTGGGCCTGAAAGGGCCTTTCTCATCCTCTAACCAGCCCAATTCCACGACCCATGATCTCGAATCAGGTCTCCCGAACAAATACGGGTTTGATTTTTGTTGTGCAAAATCCCGCCTGTGTCGTTCTGTAAAATCAAACCACGTTGTCCTCTTGTGGCCCTCTTCCAGTCCAAGACACTGTCGAACCTTCCTCCCTTCCAGACGCGTTTGTCCTCGGCAACGACTAGCAACAACCCCTGGGCGAAGCCCTCCTGCGTATCCAAACTGTCACTCAGCCCTTTGGTCGCCAGGATTATCCGTAGATCAGATAACAGATCTGTGGAGCAGTGGAGTAGTAATCAGAAGCACACCAGAGACTCTTGAGGCAAAGGGGGGAAGGATATGCAGACATTCGTCTGTCCACCCACCTAGAAGACGCAAAAAGAGAGAAAAGACGACAGAAAATCCTCAAGACCAACCTTTGGCCCAGGCCCGCCCTCTTTTTCGCTTTGCCTTTTCTGTCCACCAACCCTTTTGCTCCATCTACCCATCTGTCACCTCGGATCCCAACCGACTTCGCCATCCTCGTGCACTCTACTGGAGTACACAACCGGCCCAGGACTTGCCACCAACGCGAACCCGCTCGTACCACAACCGGACGCCCTGTCCAAGCCTTTTTCTTCCAGCATAACCAACTCCTGATTCAGCGGCACCCTGCTGCTGTCTGTAGCACCGGCTTCCTCTGGCCATTTTCCCCATCAGTCGTCTGTTTCGGACACCCAACACGTGCTGTTCTCCTAGTACAAACGCTCTGTATTGGCCAAGATCCCGCCTGATCGCTAGCGGATATTGCCCAGAGATTGGGGTGGCTTACTTGTCATCCAAGTACAACTCCAACGATCGATCTTGGCATGTGTTTGACCGCCGACCTCGATACCGTTTCCACCACTTGACGATCACGGAGCGACATCGAAGCCATCCTGCGCAACCTCAAAACTGCCACCGAAGTACAGCATTCGCTTTCTTTCGAGCGGGCTCCCAAACGCGCTGCATCTATACTCAAGACGGATATAAGCGTCTACCAACATATCGTTAGCTTGAGATCGAACACAAACACATGGAGAAGGAATGGCATTGCCGGATGACACTCGCCTTATGAATAACCAATCTTCTAACGAAAGTAACTTGGCACCCAGCCGTACGGCCCTTCCATCAAGGCCACCCCCAATGACCGAAAACAACGAGCCTTCGAAGCGCGAGTCAACCGGACCGGTTGACGAGGCGCCCTCCAAGTCCGAATCCGGGCCCTCGCCGAATTCAAAGCAAGCGGGGCATGCTGCACAGAGTCCATCTGCTCGCAAGAAGTCTCCAAAAACTCTACACTCCCGACCTGCACAACCTTCAACCGAGACCGTAGGAGTGGTAAATGTTGCAACGTTGGGACTTGTGCCTTCTGTTCAGGGCCACGCAGGTCAAGTCTGCAGGTATGGATATTCCTATTCCATTCATCGAATCTGTAATGCTAACGGCTGAGTAGCAATTGTGGCACAACACATACTCCTCTTTGGCGAAGATCACCTCTGGGAGCCATCATTTGCAATGCTTGCGGACTGTACCTGAAGGCGCGTAACGCGGCTCGCCCCGCCAACATAAGGCGCCCTCCCAGTGTGATGGCGAGTAATGTCAGGCAGGCCCCGACCAAGTTGTCTCCTAAAGCAACTGCACCATTACTACCGAGCAATCCGGGGGCAACATATGTAGCCGCAGATCAGACGCCGTCAGGCTCATGTCCTGGAGGCGGAAGATGCAACGGTACAGGTGGTGCGGAGGGGTGTGGTGGCTGCCCCGCATACAACAACCGCGTCTCCAAGAGTGCCAGTCTCAACGTGCTGAAATGTCAGGGCGCAGCAGCAGCGTCTTCGAAGAAACATCACGCAGCAGAGGGCAGCGGGGAAGAACCGACCGAGGTGGATATCACCGCCTTACACGTTCAATCGCAAAACACCACCGTTGTCATTGCTTGCCAAAACTGCGGCACTACTATTACTCCGCTCTGGCGAAGGGATGAAGCCGGTCATACCATTTGCAATGCATGCGGTAAGTGCATGAATTTACATACCGGACAATCAGGAATGGGACGAATATGCTAACCTGACCAAAGGTCTTTATTACAAGTTGCACGGTGTGCATCGACCGGTGACCATGAAAAAGGCGATAATCAAACGGAGAAAACGTGTTATCCCTGCCGCCGGAGGTGAGGGAGAGAATGAGCCAAGCGAGGCCCCAGACTCACCAACACCGGCACCAGAACCTCCGAGGGAGAAGGGTACGGTTAACGAAGATGGATCCGTTAATCTCGGAATCCGTCGACGTCCAGTACGACCATTGACCCTCGTGCCTGAGGATGAATTGCGACGGAACAGACAGGCATCACCGCTGTCTTCAGCCCACGACTTGGGACAGTATCACTCATCTCATATAAATCAACCACACCACGGAGCCCATGAGTCTCTCACTTATGAGAACCGGTTGGCCCCAATTCACTCATTGGCCCTCCCGGTTGATCGACAGTCGTCCCTATCACCAGCATCATTCCTGTCACCATCAAGGAAGCGATCGATATCCGCTGTGGAGAACGAACCTTCGTCTCACAATGACAACGAAAGCCACAAGCGTTTGTCTTCCATCAAATCGATCCTCAATCCGGTACCGAGTTCTGAGATGCACCGAGAGGTCTCGCCGGCAGACCATTTCCGGATGCAACAGCCCTCCCGGTCCCCAGCTATGAGCAGCCTCACCCCAGCACCCAGTCCAGGGTCATTCTCAAACAGCACAGTCATCGGGACACCAACATCAGCTCCGACTATGCGGAGCGGTTCAAGGGATCATCTAAATGAGGGCGAGCGCGTCAAGGCAGAGCGGAGGGCGGCGTTGGAGCGCGAGGCTGAAGTTATGAGAGAGATGCTGGCTGCAAAGGAAAGAGAGCTTGCTGAATTGGGTTATGACTGAGATGCGGAGGTTGCAAAAGCGTATTCTGTGATTTTGAGGGATCGAAATGGAGTTATCTGGGAGAGCATACCCTTGGGTTTTGATTGTTGCATAGATAGATAGCAACGGAAGGCATACTCTTTTGAGAAAAGCCCGATATCACTTGAACACACATAGAACTTGTGTTATAGAATCCGCATGGTACCTAGTTTTGTGTCTCTTCATTGATGGTCAACGTGTTCGGTTTCCGTGCTAAAAGCCATTTGGGATACGTACCCCTTAACTGTATCCCCTATTTGCAATACCCTGCTATGCTGAAGCTTAATGCGGCAATTGAAGTTTCAGAGTTGACAGAAAGCCCCTGCCTTGACAGGCCACGCACGCTACGTCAGCGTCGTAGGGCGGAGCTTCCACGTTGCCGCGCGTTTGGGGCCGGTTTAGTGGACGACGTACCCCGGCTCAGGCGCATCGTTAGGGACCACCCGACCGTTCTTGTGAGGCTGTGACCGGCAACCAACCTCCACACCCTACAGCTTCCCGACCTCGAGCTTCGATTGTTCCAGGCAACACTTTTACAGTATCTTACAACCAACAACTTTCATCGCAACTACAAGTACCGCTACATACAATCGCGCAACTCCCCAGACTCGATCCGAATCGATTGCTTGACTGCGCCAAATTCGCTGGATCGCACCCTTCCCCTCCAACACTTTATCAACCGTTGCGACGCATTCGCTTCACAATACCACAACGCCACGATGGACCTCTCATACTCTTTGTACGTTTACACACCCGCCCACCCGTGCGGCTATGGAGGAAGCCCAAGAATGAGACGAAGCGGCGACCAAGGCTGCTGCGCTCAAATACCACGCGCATTTGCAAATGCCATCAAGGTCCAGAACAGCTTGCTAACATGACGTCCTACTCTCCAGTCGCATCGTCAATCTCGCGGTTGCGGTGCTCATGATCTTGGGCGGTATCTCCCAGTTCTTCCCTCTTGGAATGTACGTTTCCGCATCCTACGCCCGTTGACGAAGTCACCAATCACACGGGTCCAATGCGCTTCTCCTGCTCGAGCGGATGCCGGATGGAGACCTTGGGCGCAAATCACGGCGACTGTCGAGATTGAGCAACGTCCTCGAGTCTGGCTGTCTCCCGGCTGCCAATACGCTTCCGCCTATGGCCACGGAGGTGGTCGTATATTTTGTCTGAACTTTGCGCCGGTAACACAAAATATGTATGAGACATGAAACTGACCAAGTTACTGCTGACAGTCAATCAACCATCCTCGGATGCTACGTTATTCTTTTCGGCGTCTGTAAGTGGTCGCAAACTTCTCGACAGGGACATTCAAGATCTTTGCAAAAGCTAATAACTATTCTCTTCACAGCCACCGGTCTCCTGGAGTTCCAGATCCCTCACCAAGTCCAGCGCTATGCATCTTTCATGTTCTCATTCCTCGGCCGTGGCGTCTGTACGTTATTGCCCCCGACTCCGCTTCTCCTGCTGTTGCTGGATTCGTATATCCTATTGGGGCCTGGCTAATCGTCGTTCTCTTTAATCTTTGCAGTTTACATCTTCGTCGGCTGCATCATTCCTCATGGACACTGGGCCACCATCATTATCGGCTCGATCATCTTCCTTGTCGGTGCTGCCTATGTCGGCCTCGAATTCGTGCCCTCGATCGAGCCCCCTGCGAGCATGCGCGAGGTGGATGCGGGCTGGGGTGCTGAGCAGGTGTAAATAAGACACCTATGGATCAAGAAAGCTCAACCATTGTCCGGTTAGGGGAGCCTTGAAGAGAACTCACGTGGCTGCTATGGCCCATAAGTGCTGGAAGAAAATGTCATGTCGATCCAGACGAGACGACTGGGGTGTGGGAGGAGGAGGATGCTTGTTGTCTGTTTGACAGCTTCTGGAGGACTGTTGGTGGAGGGCTAGTGCCGAGATGCCGAGGGGCATGGTGTTGCCGAATTGAATGTGGCACAAGTGAAGGGGTGCACTGGTTGGCTTTTGGTAGACAGCACTCCAGGATGGGAAAAATTATGTCAACGATTTAGCCTACGCTTTAGATTGAGGGCAGCAACTGCGCTGACATGTGAAAGTTTTGGACAATGACTTGGAGCTCATCAGCATCTACAGAAATACAGTGATTGTGACGACGATGTATTTTTGTTTACCATGGTTCGTGATCGCCGCCGTCCACTCACACTGTAGTTGCTATCGCTGCAAATCTGGGCTACCCCCTTTTTTTGAGTTTTGCCAGAGCGTTGGTTGTCCTAGCAACTGTTTTGCCTGCATTGGTATCCGATATCGGTTAAGCCAAAAAGGGTTAGGGTTCATGCAGATAAGCGATAAGATCCTAATCAATCTTAAACCTTGAGGGCTGCATTACAAAATTTTGGAGCTCGACGGTCCGAGAAACCTCCAAGTCAACCACATAGCACAAGGTAAGGACCCCTATGAACATGATTTTGTGAGGAGGTCGTGACTGACAAATTGAATAAGGATTATCTTTATCGAATCATCCTCGTACCACATTCAAGATGGGCAAGAAGAGATCAAGAGAGGAAGCCCAGAAGGAGGTCATCCAGAACGACCCCACTGTCGATAAGATGGATGAGGATAGTGACAGCTCAGACTCAGATGAGGTGAGTTATGAAACCCCAACTGAGGAACCATTGCAGCATCTCCTCGAAACCCCATCGAGAACCGAATGACTAACACAGGTTGCTTGGGATTAAGGACATGGACATCATCAACGTCGACTTTGAGCTGTTCAACTACGACAAGGACATCGACTTCCACGGCGTCAAGACGCTTCTCCGCCAGCTCTTCGACGCCGACGCTCAGCTTTTTGATCTGTCCGGGCTCAGCGACATGATCATCGAGCAGAACACCATCGGCTCGACGTGCAAGGTGGACGACAAGGCCAACGATGCCTACGCCTTCCTCACCGTGCTCAACGCGTGGGAACACCGCGAGAAGAAGCCCGTCGCGCAGCTGATCGAGTACCTGTCCGACAAGGCCGTCAAGGCTTCAGGGGACCTGGCCGTCCTGCCCGAGCTCTTCACTTCCGGCAAGGCCCAAGTGGGCATCGTCCTGTCCGAGCGCCTCATCAACATGCCTGCCGAAGTCATCCCGCCCATGTGGAACATGATGATCGAGGAGATCGCCGACGCCGTCGACGACAAGGAGCCATACGAGTTCACGCACTACCTGGTTGTCTCGCGCGGCTACGTCGAGGTCGAGTCGAGCCTGGACCAGGAGGAGCAAAAGCGCAAGCGGCAACGCGACGAGAAGGGCCTGCAGTTCTTCCACCCGGAGGACGAGGAGATGCGCAAGCATGCTGTCGGTAGCGGAGCCTACACTTTTACTAAGGAAGGAGACTCGGCCGACAGCAAGCGCGCTTTCCAGGAGCTGGGCGTCAAGTCACAGGGCTTCATGATGCTCATCGAGGCGGGCAAGTTCAAGACGGCTGTCAAGGCTATTGCGGATTACATTGGCGCTGCGGCCAACTAATTTTACTGTAATGGATTGCACTGATACGGAAAGTCTGGAAAAGTGGGAATACGAATGAAGAGAAACGGTTAACGCATCGTCAGTCCCTGCCTGCAGTGCTGTGGGTTTTTAGATCTATCGATCCACCGCTTACTGATGAGCTTTGGGTTGCACCGATTGTTATTCGCACCGTGACTATTGGGCAGCCACCGGCTCCAGTCTCTGCATGAGGTACTCAACCTCGACCTCCTTGGTGAGAGGAATCACGAATTCCTCGTACATGGCCACAACAGCATCAACGTTGATCTTGCGCTGGCTTTCAGCATCGGCAGCGCCTATCGATGGATCGGTGCCGTAAGTCTCCGCCTTGAGCTTTAGTCTCTCCAACACCTTCTTCTCAACCGCCTTGTTGGTGATGGCCTCCCCAATGGCATCGCGATCGCCAGCCTTGATGTACTTGGTGAACCTTTCCGTCTCAGACTGGAACTTGGACTCGGCAACAAACTTTCCGAAGTGAATGCGCCGGGAGATGGCCTGCAGGCAGGCGATGTCGCAGGTAGCAGAGGAACCGTAGTTCTCCTTGTTGACACCACGGTCCTCGCGGCCAAAGTCGGGGCACACGCTGGGAAGGAATTTTTGGGTATAGAACTCCTTGATCTTGTCGTTGACACAGACGTTGTTGGGGTGGAGAATCTGGGGGTAGTCGATCGACTCGAGGAGGGGCTTCTGCACTGCGTCGGGGAAGAAAGGGTATTCATCGGGCGACTCGTAGCGGCGCATGAGGGACTGGAGACGTTCCTGCTGCCAGAGGTACCAGTCCATCAAGCTGAGGTCGGAGTCGGGGAGCGGGACGGCACCGGGGATGTAGATGTTTTTGTTGAGGGGGAACTGAACACGCTCGATCAGATGGAAGATGATGGTATCCTCCAGACGACTGTTCCAATGCGCATGTCAGATGGCCTGGATTTTGAACGCAGGTACAAACATTCATTGCTTGGACGGTCTTGACTCACATCAGCTGGTAGCGAATGCGCGAGAGATCAAGCGCCTTGTCGACGTCAGACAGGTCGATGATTGCGTCCATCTTGAGGGCCGAGTAGTCGCTATTGCGGTATGAACTGTAGGGAGCTAGGTTGAGATGTAAGATGTCAGATCAATTGGCAAGAAGGACAATAACTGTTATGGTACGGTGAGCGTGAGTCCCTCCTGCGGATCCTCAATCGGGAAAGATGAGACCAAACAATCGCAACTTCGATATCGGAGGACAATCGGATTCCACGCTGCAAAGGGGCCCCGTTAAATTTTAGGTATGACGCACCAGCACAGCGGATCCGGTACCCCACTAGCCTTCAGCGTTTCTCTCGGCAGACACCGGATCCCTGCTCTGGCAGCCCCTTCTGAATGGAGCCAAGCCTGAATTGGCGCGGCGTCTGCGTGCGGGGAGCCAAGGGGGATGAGGGGAAAATGGAAACTGAGGGGCGCGTCTTCGGCTGGTCGGTTCGAGGGGTGTGGAAATCCACATCCACATGCTGTGACTGGCCTGCTGCCAGCCGCAGAGGCCGACCACCGAGCAGCGAGTCTGTTCAGAGGGTACCTTCCATGCTATGTGATCCATGGGCGTCATCGCGGTAGCCGTTAACAAACCAGCTGAAAGTGATTCCTGCCACGGCGTTTTGCCAGGTTCACACAACAAATTTGTGCCGCACCCACGCCAGAGCTTAGAGCGCCGCGAGGTACCTTACCTTAACCTCGACACCATCCATCCCATCGCAAATTGATTCATCCAGCAGCCTGCCGTGGTTACATGCTGCTGCCACGGGCTCTGGCATAGACAACATCGCGTCAACATCGCTACCACTAGTCGCAGCTGCGCTCGATCCCTGGTTGTGCGATATTACAGCGATAGTAGCGCTCGCAGGATTTTCTCGCGTCGTCGTCCAAGTGTCCTGCTTTTATTCGACCTCTCCGCGCTTTAGTAATTCGTCGGGCGGCAACAACCTCTTGGGCATTTATTCCAAACCTCCAGCGATTGGGTGGCAGACTCCCAGTGCCAACGGATGGCCAACTCCGACCAGAACCGTGATGCGTTCCCCGACGATGTGTCGATTGATGACGATACCTCCGTAATCTCTGTGAGCTCTCCTCACCTTCGTCTTCCACAATCTTTCAACCATCATGACATCCTTCTGTCTTCCCTGAATCCCTTTCGTATTGCGCCTGGCGCAGCCCAAGAGTCCCAGACTAATGAAAGATGGGCGAACTGCAACAGACACGGGGTTTCGAGGCCTTCGGTCGCAAAGTGACGACAACAGCAAGTCACTTAATCGGCCCCATCACCGACCCGACCTCTCATCCTCATTACCAATCCGCCATGACCGAGATACACAAGCAGCTCCAGAAGCCTACGCTTCAACGGAGCGTCTTCGCTATTGCGCGTACTACGCCCACCGATCTAGTGCGCTCCAAGTTGTCGTCAAAGGAAATTCAATCTCGAGCACTGGCCTATGTGCCCGATGAACTTCTCAGAAACATCCCTGCCAGCTCCAACTCTTACTCGTTATTTCAGGGCTTCCAGGCCAGTTTTCCCGAGTTTCACGATGAAGGAAAGAAACACAAGCGACGAGTTTCTCGCGGGAGAAAAATGCTCGATGAGCGGCCTGTGGATCCAGGAAGCCCACACGCGGTACAGAGGTTGAAGAAGGACAAGACGTCAATGGAACACCAGCTTGAAATGCTCGGTGTTCGAAAGAACATGGCCAGCAGTGAGATTCGTGAGATTGATAACAAGATCGCCAATCTGCACGGCATGCGCAAGATAATTCTGGACAGGCTGGCTAATCTTGAAAAAGAGGAGGCGGTGCTGGAGCATGACAGTAAGTCTTTCTGGTGTTCGTTTTGTGATCTCCTACTAAGCACAAGTTGCAGTCATGGATGTTGAGAGCAGGTTGGACGAAGCTCAAGAACTTGCCGATGAGGCAGAATCGTTGGCTATGGAGACACCCAACAAGTCTGAGGAGGATCTGTCAAGAACTGAAGAAGGATTCATGTCGCAATCCATCTACGAGAAATTGCCAGCTGCCAACACTCCTCCGGGAAAGAAGAAGCCTCGCAACCACCGCAAGAAGACACTCCCCATTCTCCACGAACATTTCGAACCAGGTACCATGATCCGCTCGATGCGCGCGCACCAGGATAACATCACGGCTCTCGACTTCGACGCTCCTTTTGGTCTTATGGTTTCGGCTGCTATGGATGACTCGGTTCGTGTTTGGGACTTAAACGCGGGACGCTGCATCGGTACTCTTGAAGGACACACGGCATCTGTGCGCACTCTTCAAGTCGAAGATAACTTCTTGGCCACTGGTTCAATGGATGCGACAATCAAGCTGTGGGATTTGAGCAAGGCCCATTACGATCCCCAGGGTAGCCAGGAAGTTGATGAGGAGGATGAGGACCTCGCTTTTGTGAACCCGGATGATCACGCAGTCGACCCACCTGCCGGAAGCATGGCTGATTGCCCTCTTTTCACCCTGGAGGCCCATCTGGATGAGATTACGGCTTTGCATTTCAGAGGAGATGTGCTCGTTTCTGGTTCCGCCGACAAGACGCTTCGTCAATGGGATCTGACTAAGGGTCGCTGCGTACAGACCCTGGACGTGATGTGGGCTGCTGCCCAGGCCACTGCCATGGGTAGCAGTGACGGTCCCTGGAGGCAGACCAGCCGTTCTGCCGACGGATCGGCCGACTTTGTTGGTGCTCTGCAGGTCTTCGAGTCTGCTTTGGCTTGCGGTACTGCTGATGGTATGGTTAGACTCTGGGATCTGAGAAGCGGACAGGTGCACCGTAGCCTGGTTGGACATACTGGCCCGGTTACCTGCCTCCAGTTTGACGATGTTCACCTCGTTACTGGTAGCTTGGACAGAAGCATTCGCGTAAGCAACCTGCTCATTCCACCATGACACTACGAAACGAACTGGCACTGACAATGCTTCTCATTACAGATTTGGGATCTTCGCACTGGATCAATCTTTGACGCTTATGCATATGATCATCCTATTACCAGCATGATGTTCGACACCCGCCGGATTGTCTGCGCTGCCGGCGAGGATGTGGTTAAGGTTTACGATAAGGTTGAAGGACGGCATTGGGACTGCGGCGCCGGCATCACTGAGGCTGAGAAGGCCAAGTCCCCTGCCATCATCGAACGCGTGCGCATCAGGGACGGCTACATGGTTGAGGGCCGTCAAGACGGTGTCGTCGGCGTCTGGACATGCTAAAAGCGGCATGAATGGGGGGTTTGCATTGCTTGTACAAATACGACATAACACGACACGACTTGAACGGGACTGGAGCAAAAGGGGCGGCCACGTATATTGGTTTTATAGGTTTTATGAAGGAGACTCGTTTAGCGATAAAATGAAGTCAATGTTAGGGTTATTTGGATATCTCCAAAGCTACAGTTGTCCATAACGCATTATACACCAGCAAGATTACGGGTTTCTTTGGTGTGCTTCGCCAGTATAAATTGAGTCGATAGATGACAGAGTGATTAGCTTCGGCATACATATGTCTCCGAGCCAGATCCACTTTATACTCAATGGACCAACCCGAAGCCTCAAGCCCATTCAAAGAAAGGCGAACAAGCCTGGGCGCAAGCGGGGATCTTCTCGAATGCGGAAGTCATGGAATCATCGGGGCAGCATCCGAAGAGGAGTCAATAGTGCTTGTTACAGAGTCCAGCGGCCGCGTTTTGACTTTCAAAGTCGTTCCACGGAGACAAGATTATCTCCAGCCGGAGTTAACAACCAACGATCTCCGTAGAAACTGATGGTATAAGATCGAGATCGTAACTAACACTCTCTAATGGTTCGGGAAGTTTACAATCCCGTCCAGTCCCCACCCCGTAGACGGGGCAACGCTGATCACGGGGAGCGGACTGGGCTCAGGCCCACTTGCCTATTAGTGACGGCACCTGCGTAGTCGCTGCATTTACACGGACACTTGAGAACAACTCGGTTACCTCCATCCCCATCTGGTGTCCGAAGCATTTCCTGTGTTGTTTGATTGAATCTGCGTTCCTGTCCTTGCCAGCGTGGCAGAACGTAGAGATCCCCGTTTCAACTTGCCGTCGCCTTCAGGCCGATCCCACTCCGCGGCCTGCCTCCGCGATCTCTGCCTATCTCTGCCTGTGTATCAACATACACAGAAGGAAAGAACGACCGTCCGGTCTCCCTGGCGAGGCCCTACCATATCCTTGTTTATCTTTTGCGTATCATTGATCTGTAATCAAGCTCGACCTGAACTCAGTTACATATAAATTTCCTTCCATCCTTCGTCCCTTCCTTGTGAACCTCGTGCATCTGTCAGGTCCAGTCTTCTTCTAGTCTTTCATCCTTCACTTCTTTTCATCCACTCTCACCTACCTCTATATACAATAAACTTCAACTCGAACTCAAGATGGCCCTCCCAATGGCACCTCTCCCCAAGGGGCCCCTCGGCCGCTACCGCCTGCTGTCCCCCACGGCATCGGTCCGTGTCAGCCCGCTTTGTCTGGGGTCAATGAATTTTGGCGATGCTTGGTAGGTTTTACACATCACAACGGCCTTACAGCTGTTAACCGCTCAGTTCGTGATGCCGCTTGATTACTAACCTGCGGAACTACAACGAATACAGGAAAGATTATATGGGAGAGTGTAATCAAGAGACCACGGAGAGTATCTTGGACTTTTATTACGAGAACGGAGGTATGATCATGTGATGGGAGGCTCCTATGACGTGAGAGTGAGAAGGGCAGCCAGGCTAACTTGGTGACGTTTGGTGATGTTGTAGGCAACTTCATTGATACGGCCAATAATTACCAGAAGGAGGAGTCGGAGAAGTGGATTGGGGGTTGGATGAAGAAGAGAGGGATCCGGGACCAACTTGGTAAGCTACCCAAATCATTATGCCGCTGAGCAGACATTAACCCCGTATTCCTAGTCATCGCCACCAAATTCACCACCAACTTCAGAGCCGGCTATGGTGAAACAGAGATCATGGCCAACTTCGGAGGCAACGGCACCAAGAGCATGCGGACCTCAGTTGAGGCCAGCTTGAGGAAGCTCCAGACGGACTACATCGACCTCGTACGTTTCTCCTGCTTCCAAACACCGCTCACAGACCTACTAACACAACCCTCGTATAGCTCTACGTCCACTGGTGGGACTTTACCGTCTCCATTCCCGAGCTGATGCAGTCCCTCAACCAGCTCGTCACCAGCGGCAAGGTTCTCTACTTGGGTGTTAGCGACACCCCGGCCTGGGTGGTCAGCAAAGCCAACCAGTACGCGCGCGACCATGGACTGCGTCAGTTTTGCGTGTACCAAGGCCGGTGGTCCGCCGCTTCGCGCGACTTTGAGCGGGACATCATCCCCATGTGCCGGGACGAAGGCATGGGGCTGGCGCCCTGGGGCGCCCTCGGCGGTGGCAGCTTCAAGTCGGAGGAGCAGCGCCAACAGCAGGCCAACGAGGGCCGCAAGATCAAGGCGACCGAGGAGCAGATCAAGATCAGCCGGGCGCTGGAGAAGATTGCGCAGCGTAAGAACACGGCCATCACATCTGTGCCCTGGCGTACGTGATGCACAAGGCGCCCTACGTGTTCCCGATTGTCGGCGGCCGCTCGGTCGAGCACTTGAAGGGTAATGTTGAGGCGCTCAAGTTGGCGCTGTCTGATCAGGATATCGAGGAGATCGAGGGCGCGGTTCCGTTCGATATCGGTTTCCCTAACTCGTTCCTTTATGGCGAGAAGGCGCCTGCCCACCCCAGCCAGGTCTGGTTGATGGGTATGGCGGGTACATATGATTATGTCCCGGTGCCGAAGCCTATCGTGCCGACGGCAGAAAATGGTCAGTAGAGCCGACATCGCCGCCAGAGGTCATTGAAGGTTAGATGGCAGCAAAAGCTGTAGTGTTAGTGCGTTTGAATGTGATCCAAGTTGGGCTACCTTGAATGGTGTTGTTGCATCACACAGCTGTTGTGGGGGACGTCATATTAATGATGTGTTGGGAAGACATATTAAGCACGGAGCTTCAATGAACCTGTTTGACAGACCTTAGTACAAATTTGATTGGTAGAACTGTATAATATTTGGGGGTATCTCAAAGCTGACATGAAACTTGTTTCCTCTCTCCTCTTGTTGCGCTTTAAACCCTTCGCTTACCGCCAAGTGAAAGCTTTTTCGTCCCTTTCTCTGCAACTTCCACTGGCCTTCCAACACTAGCCGGAATCTCGAACACGGCCTGTTCCTCTTCCTCTTGTTCGTCTTCCTCATCTTCCTCGTCATCTGAATCCTCTTCGTCGTCATCCTCCTCGTCCTCTTCAAGCTCTTCATCTTCGGGCACTGCCTCTCCCGCATCAATCTTTGCCTGCTGTTCCTGAATAGCCTTTTCCAGTTCCTTGAGCATCTTCTTGGTAAACCCTGAAGCCTCCACAGCAGCATCCAACCGCCTAGCACCGTCCTTGCCGACCGTCTTGTAAGCATCCTTGAAGAAGGGGCCGGGTGATGTGGGAACAAAGTGGAAGCGCTTCTTGAAGAACCTCTTGATGCATTCGACGTCGCGGTCAAAGTACATCTCGGCGTTTACGTGGTCCATAGACACCATTTGTGGGAAATCGATAATAACCGGCACAAGGGTCACCGTTTCCTCCTCCTTCTCCTCGCCGTCCTCGATCGTGTACTTGTTGGTCCGCTCCTCCTTGATCAGGATGTTGAACTCGTTGAAATCACCGTGGATGAGGCCGTGCTTGGCCAGTCGGAGGATTAGGTCGATGAGCTCGGCATAGAGGCTTGCAGGATTTGGCACAGCGGAGACCTGTCTGAGTGGTAGGGACTCGACCAAACTCATGACGATGGTGTGTCGCGACTGCGAAATCGGTTCGGGCACGGGGAAGCCTTCTTCTTGGAGCGCCTGCATGAAGGCGTACTCCTTCATAGCCGCGAGCCGCGAAAGGTACATCCACGAGCCGCCTTGCCGGTTGCGCAGGTAGTCGCGGTTGGACTTGACGGTACGGAAGGAAATGCGGCCCAGGCGATGGATCTTGAGAATCTTTTGCTCGCCGGTCTTGTCGGCCACGATCATGATATCGGATTCCTTGCCGACACCCACACGACTGCCGACGCTGTAGACGACATCCTTGGAGGAGTGGGTGTGCAGGGCGAGATAGTCGAGACCGCCGTAGGTCAGTCGGTAGCCGTCGTACTTGGCCTCCTTCATGCGTCCGATGAGGCCGGACTTGGCGAGGGTCGCTATGCTCCTGTGTACACCGCTGGCACCGCCCTTGAGACGGGAAATTCTCTCGATCAGAGGGGTTGGGACAAGTTCGTGGTTCTTGCTGCCCATCTCGACGGCAGTCAAGACTCTCCAGTCTTCTGCCGTGAGATGGCGTAAAACTCTGGTGTCCAAAAACATGATTGTGGGGTTTTGCTGGTAATCGTTGGCGTACGTTGCTCTGGGAAATATCCTGGTGTTGTGTTGCTAAAGCAGGTTATTAGGTTGTTGTCCTTAAGGTCGAGGCTCGTGGGTGACTTTAATACAATGATGTATCGACTTCGAAACTTCAAAGCTGATGTCCAGAATAGAAAGTGGGCGTCCCCAAATTCCCAATGCATGGCTGCGATAAGATCTTCTCGATAAGATAGGGCTGGCTGTACCTCCACGGTGTGGTGGGCTCACGAAGGTCCAAAGCGCCAGGTCCAGGCCAGTTGCTTATCTTATCAAAGCCTGGGGAGGAGCGGATTTTGTATCTTCCAGCCTCTGATGACGCCTCATCCCCACCGAGGCTTCCAGGACCCACTTGAGCGGGCAGCATCGCAAGGGCGCTCTCAGCCAGACGGGGAGCTTCAGGCGGCAAGCGAGTCGCGTAACCACTGTCTGCTGCTACCGCACCTGCTTGGTTGGAGCTCCCTGGCGTTGACTCCATAGCACCGTAACTGCCACTGCCTTTGCTGGCTTCAGCAACTCACTGCTTCACGGCGAATCTGTTAAGCTCCGACCTCTAATTCGTCACCTGAACAACAAACTCAAACAACCGACTTCATCTCATCCACGTTTTAATTCTGACATTCTGCTTAACGACCGGACCTCAAGATCCTGTCGCTCAAGCATCATCGGTGACAAAACTTGCTCATTTCTTCAGCAGCGAACGCCACCGCCGCGTCCATCTACCCCGGTCAACCCAGCCTACCTTGGTTTCCCCTCCAACTGGACCCATCGGCTCTGCGAATCTTCCCACCTACAACCATCTGCACGACCAGCAATCATGGCGCAAGAAAGCGACCTGCCCAAGACGGCCGATAAGGGCAAGGGAAAGGCCGTTGACGACGAGAAGAAGCCCCAAGATGTCGATGGAAAGACCCCCGCAAACGGCAAGAAGGAGGAGGATCAGAATGGTGGGTTTCTCGGGTTACTTCGACCGAACTTAGGTATCGGAGCCGGGCTTCTGCTGACAGCGCTTTGTGTTAGCTTCCGAGGAACTCAGTGAAGAGGATCAGCAGCTCAAGAGCGAGCTTGAGATGCTCGTCGAGCGGCTAACGGTTAGTTCTTCGCAATGACGTGATTGAGGCTTGAGACGGGCTTCTCTAACGATGCGTATTTCCAGGAATCCGATGCGACCCTCTACAAGCCGGCCCTCGAGGCCATGAAGAACTCCATCAAGACATCCACATCCTCCATGACGGCGGTACCAAAGCCGCTCAAGTTCCTGCGCCCGCATTATGAGTCTATGACGAAACTCTACGACGAATGGCCCGCTGGCGACGACAAGTCATCTCTCGCAGATGTTCTATCGGTGATCGGCATGACATACTCGGACGAAGACCGCCAGGATACCCTCAAATACAGACTCCTTTCCCGACACAGGATATTGGCTCGTGGGGTCACGAGTACGTTCGTCATCTCGCCCTTGAGATTGGCGAGGTCTACGCCAAGCGCATTGCCAACGACGAGGCGACTCAAGAGCTGGTCGATCTTGCCTTGGTCCTGGTGCCGCTCTTCCTCAAGAGCAACGCTGAAGCTGATGCCGTCGACCTGATGAGCGAGCTCGAGATCATCGAGGAGCTTCCCAAGTTCCTTGATGAGAACACGTACTCGAGAGTCTGCCTGTACATGGTTTCGATGGTCAACCTCCTAACCTATCCCGACAACGAGATGTTCCTTCGTGTAGCGCACAGCATCTACAAGAAATACAACCAGCATACCCAAGCCATGGTGCTTGCGATCAGACTTAACGACCTCGGACTCATCGAGAACGATTTTGAGGCGGCGGATGAGGATCCTGCGCTTCGCAAGCAGCTCGCTTTCCTTATCGCGCGCCAGGGCATCCCATTGGAGTTTGAGAGGAGCAACGATGACGACGAGAAGATCTACGAGTGCCTTTCCAACCAGAAGCTTTCGGAGTATTTCAAGTCCCTCGGAAAGGAACTCAACATATTGGAGCCAAAGACGACCGAGGATATCTACAAGAGCCACCTTGAGAGCAGCCGTGTCGCTGGCATGACCAACTTCGACTCTGCCCGACACAACCTCGCCGCTGGCTTCGTCAACGCTTTTGTCAATGCCGGCTTTGGAAGCGACAAGATGATGCTCGTTGGCAAGGACAAGGACAGCTGGGTGTGGAAGACCAAGGATGAGGGTATGATGTCTACAGTGGCGTCGCTGGGAACTCTGCTCCTCTGGGACGTCGAGAACGGTCTCGACCACGTTGACAAGTATACTTACCTTGAGGAGGAACAAATCCAAGCTGGCGCATACCTCGCAATCGGTATCATGAACACTAATGTTAGGACGGATTCCGAGCCCGCGATGGCCCTGCTGGCCGATCCCGACAAGCTTGCGCACAAGAACCCGCTGATCCGTGTGGCTACCATTATGGGTCTCGGATTGGCGCACGCTGGGTCTTGCAAGGAGGAACTCCTCTCGTTCCTGGTCAACATCATCAGCGACCCTGAGGAGAGCATGCAGGTATCAGCCATGGCTGCCCTGGCCTGCGGTATGATTTTCGTTGGCTCCTCCAATTCCGAAGTCAGTGAGGCCATCGTGACTACCTTGCTGGACGAGGAAAGTGGAAGCCGCCTCAACGACAAGTGGTCTAGGTTCCTCGCGCTTGGCTTGGGTCTCCTGTATTTTGGCCGTCAGGAAGAGGTGGACGTCATTCTTGAGACTCTCAAGGCAGTTGAGCATCCTATGGCTAAGCCGACTGCTGTTCTTGCTGAGATTTGCGCCTGGGCTGGCACCGGTGCCGTCCTCAAGATCCAGGAGCTCCTTCATATTTGCAACGAGCACATTGAGGATGGAGAGGAAAAGAAGGGCGAGGAGTTGCTTCAGGCCTATGCCGTTCTCGGTATTGGCTTGATTGCCATGGGCGAAGATGTTGGACAGGAAATGGTTCTCCGCCATTTCGGTCACCTTATGCACTACGGCGAAGCTAACATCCGACGAGCGGTGCCGTTGGCTATGGGCCTCATCAGCCCTAGCAACCCTCAAATGAAGGTTTACGACACTCTGTCGCGATACAGTCACGACAACGACAATGAAGTCGCCATCAACGCCATCTTTGCCATGGGTCTCTTGGGTGCCGGTACAAACAACGCGAGACTTGCCCAGCTGCTCCGTCAGTTGGCTAGCTACTACCACAGAGACCAGGAATCTCTGTTCATGGTCCGTATCGCGCAAGGTCTCTTGCACATGGGCAAGGGCACTCTTTCCGTCAGCCCCTTCCACACAGACCGTCAGGTGCTTTCAAATGTGGCGGCGGCTGGTCTCCTCGCTGTCTTGGTCGCCATGATTGATGCTAAGCAGTTCATTACCTCGAAAGATCACTATCTTCTCTACTGGATCGTGACAGCAATGCACCCTCGCATGCTTGTTACCCTCGATGAGGACTTGAAGCCTTTGACAGTGAACGTTCGTGTTGGTCAGGCTGTCGATGTGGTCGGCCAGGCTGGCCGCCCCAAGACCATCACCGGCTGGCAGACACAGAGCACACCAGTACTACTCGGATACGGTGAGCGTGCTGAGTTGGAGGATGACCAGTACATCAGCCTTAGCAACACCCTTGAGGGTCTCGTTATTCTTCGCAAGGTATGTGTATATCATTAAGGGTCCCTGTCAGATTGTTTCATACTAACATTTTTTTCCACAGAACCCCGATTGGGAGGGTGAGAAGTAAAGAGGCTGCAGGTTGAGCGATGTATAGGGCTGTGTGATCTGGTGTGGTTTAGAACGTCACAAGGGATCGTTTGGAGGAGGTGGAAGTAAGAGCCAAAGAAAGGGCGACTAAGCAGGTATCACGCAGGTGCATATGCAATAGAAAAGCGGACTATATTATTTAACTGTGTCATAAGACTTTCTAGGGAGGTTCAAGATGGCATTTCTGGGAATTCGATTGCAAAGGCTGTACAGAGGAGTCTTGCTTCTGACCTGTCGATACAAGTTTGAATCGGAAGAGGCCGAAGCCCCGTCATGCCACTACATAGGATCTTTACACAATAGTTCAGTTGGCTTGCTGGGATATGGTACTGTAAGTAAGGTAGACATCGGCCTCTGCATCCACTGTCGACTTCTTTCCTCTCTTCGTCTCGTCCGTGCGATGGGAAGGGTTCAAGTTTTTGTCGTTGCAGTCCGGTGACTCACTGTACGTAATCGTAACTTTTGTATTGCTGTCATTTGGGGAGTCAGTGGCGAGTGGATGTTGATGTTCCATGCTGCGCCAAGCGTGGCTCATTGTGAACAAATAGGGCTTGCCGGGAGCCGAAGAGTACAGCAAAATTGGAATTTATTTGCCTTTTAACTATTGGCGATAATTACATATGGGAAGCTTAACAGAGTTGAAAAGGTTGCAGTCCCGAGGTGTATCAAGTTACGAATAGAGGCAGGCGAGTAGAGCGAGGCAGGAGTTAGTTGTCTCACTTACCCCGGTCCCACTCCATCCGGGGACGTGTCAAAAGAGCGCCCTTAAGACCCATAAACCCGCAGTGCTAGCGGGATCATCCACCGGAATGACAGGGCCGGTGGCACTAAGCGCTCTTCCTACGTAGGCAGCTGTAGTACAAGCTGCAAGGGTCTAAAAGGAAAGAAGTGGAGGTAAAAAAATTCCATGTCAGACAAATCATTGTTTCTTTTTCATAAACTTTCTGAAACCCTTCACAAATTCATTGGCACAAACTTTCACTACCAAACTGTTCTCAAACCTCTGAGAGAATCTATAAAGCCCCCCGGTGGCAGTTGTCATCCCATCTTCAAAGAACCCTCTGATGCTGCACGAACGTATCTGAACATCGGGTTCGTTGATTGGCTGGGTTGCGTCACCGCAAAGACAAATTGGTACTATTCCGCGCGAGCATCGAAAACACAGCGTTCTGCTCGTAAGTGATGCTGTGTTACGCGGGAGCTTGCAGATAACATGGCTAACGTTCTTGGTTAGGTTATAAATATAAAAAATATTTGAGCTTTGGGAGAGACTGGATCCTTGATATCGAGATTGAAGGGATAGGAAAAATTCCTGAGCCGTGTCTTACACCAGTACCGCGACTCCGAGCTTCTCAACGTCTCTTGTGATCAAGAGGATCGGGTATTGGCGTGGGCCGACTTCGTGAGGGAAAAGTGTCAACAAGAGGAAAGAAGGTTAAGCATGTCTTCCAACCAAGCCATACCTCCCAGAAAGAGATCGGGGGCGGGCCTCGACTTTGCGTCTTCTTTCCGTTCTGCATCGCCGCTGGCCCAGGAGGCGTTGGCCCGAGACTTAGCTGAGTGCTCGGACGATGCGGTTGACGAAGTCGACGATGAGGCACTATCCGTGAGCGACGACGAGGATGATACGCCGGGTCCTACGCTTTACAGACGGCCTAGCGGTGTCGCCTTTGGAGCGATCAGACCTGCCCTAGCTGGGCCCGGAGGGTTAGGAGAAGATCCAATTCTCACCAGGGCCGAAAGGACGCGAAGTCGTGATGAGGAACGGTCTCTTCTCAGGGACAACCACATTCTTCCCCCGAAGCATGACCGTCCGCCGCAAGAGCCAACGCTGTTTAGGGCTTTATACACCAGACTCTTCAGTACCAAGGTCCCACGAAGGATACCGGATGAAGAAGGATCCGCCAGTCCTATCCAGATCGTCATCGCCCCTCCTACGCCAACAGTAGGGACCGAGACTGAACCGTTGCTTGGTGAGGGACGTCTCCGACATCGCGGAGCCAACGGTCACGGCAGCATCGGCAACGGCGGTGAGCCCTCTGCTCGCGACCATGCCGAGCACCTTAACCAGCAGTGGGAAGCCGCCGTCGCCGCCGGTCAGATCAAGACAACCTGGCAGCGCGAAGCCAAGACCATCGCCGTCTACTCGCGCTCTCTGATCGTCACCTTCCTGCTCCAGTATTCACTCAACGTCACTTCCATCTTTGCCGTCGGCCGCCTCGGCACCCTCGAGCTGGGCGCCGTCTCTCTCGCCTCCATGACCGCCAGCATCACCTGCTATGCGCCCATCCAAGGTCTCGCCACCTCGCTCGATACGCTCTGCGCCCAGGCCTACGGAAGCGGCCACAAGACGCTCGTCGGGCTGCAACTCCAACGCATGGTGTATTTCTTGCTCCTCCTGCTCATCCCCGTTGCAATAATCTGGCTCAATGCGGAGCCCATTCTGGCGTCCATGATCGAGGCGGACAGCGCCAAGCTGGCGGCCCAGTATCTCCGTGTCATTCTTCTCGGCACTCCCGCCTACGCCATGTTCGAGGGTGGGAAACGGTTCGTGCAAGCCCAGGGCTTGTTCCACGCTACCACCTACGTGTTGCTGATCGCGGCGCCGGCCAACGTGCTGCTGAACTGGCTCTTCGTGTGGAAGCTCGGGTGGGGATTCGTCGGCGCTCCGTTGGCGGTTGCAACGACTCAGAACATGCTACCACTGCTTCTGCTGCTGTATGTTTGGAAGGTCGACGGGAGGCAGGCCTGGGGAGGCTTCAAGAGGGCGGCGCTAAGGAACTGGGGACCAATGGTCCGCCTGGCGCTGCCGGGCATGGTCATGGTGGTGGCAGAGTGGTTCGCGTTTGAGATCCTGACGCTGGCGAGCGGGAGGATTGGCGTCGCGCATCTGGCGGCGCAAAGTGTGCTTGTTACGGTCACGTCCACGACGTTCCAGATCCCGTTTCCCTTGTCGATTGCTGGCTCAACCAGAGTTGCGAACCTGATCGGAGCTAAGTTGGTGGATGCTGCAAAGACGTCGGCTAGAGTGGTGAGTGAAAACATATTCCAGTTATCGTGCGAATGTCTCAGAGGAAGGTTTTTACTAACAAAACACGTGGCTCTACTCAGACTGTTGTCGGCGGTGTCCTCGTCGGCCTCTTCAACGTGACACTACTGTCCGTGTTCCGGAATCAGATCGCACTGTTGTTTACCCAAGACCCCGAGGTGATCAAGCTGGTGGCCCAGACGCTGCCTGTGTGTGCCATCATGCAGCTGTTTGATGGTATGGCTGCCGTGTCGCACGGTTTGTTGCGGGGTATCGGTCGTCAGGAAATCGGCGGCTACGTGAACCTCATTGCTTACTATGTCGTTGCCTTGCCCATCTCGTTCGGCTTGGGCTTTGGCTTGGGATGGAATCTTGTGGGCTTGTGGATGGGTGTAACGTTTGGACTGTTACTGTTTGTCTATCCCTCTTCCTTTTCCCCTCTTCGTCACGACCCATCCTCTTTCGAGCGGACTGCTAACCTCGAGTGTCGCGTGATTGTAGGGTGTCGTTGGTTGAGTATTGGTTTATCTGGTATTCCGATTGGGATTTGGCTGCCAGGGAGGCTGAAAATAGAAATGCTTCTGGTTAGAAGGCCGGGAGGGCGTTCAAAAGCTCAAGCATTTGTGGGTGTTCCGATATGCTGCAACAAGGACGGACGGATGCATATCACCACGTCCTTATAGGTTTGGAAGACGCTTATGATCTGGCGCTTTTTTGAGACATCACTTAGAAATAAATCAGGAGTCAACAAAAATTTTCATTTTGGCAATGCCATCTTCTCTTCGGTATGTGTTGTGCTCCTGGTGAAGATTGATAGTGGGAGTGCAGGGTAAGCGGGCATCCTGGAAAGGCGTGTTGGTCACTGACGTCTTGTCAGGGGAAACAACAAATAGGGGCGCTCGTCCGTACTCCAACACGTGGGGTAGTGAAATGCAAGGATCAACGGTACCTGAATCCACCAACGATGGGATGGCTGGGGGGTGAACGGACGAAATAAAGTGTGATGTAGCATTCAATCCCAAAGCAATTGGGAGCTCTGCGTTGAGAAACCCCTATTTTCTGTTTGGGCAACACAAACAATCGACATACAAGACGCTATTCCCACGTCAACGGCCAGCTCGGTTGTGTCCGCGAGAACCGCCATACAGCCTCGTATCTCAGACCTCGGAAGGCACTTTTAGTCTCAACCATTGCCAGCATTCAATGCGAGCCCAACCGATATTCAGCGTAGTCGCCCAGGCTCTCCCAAGGCGTTCAGGTGATAGTGTCGTGAATGTTTGTCGAGCTCTGAGTGGCTCGAAAAGGGGTTTGTCACATCAAGGGCCCGCTCTGGACTTGGCTCGTGCCCCGAAAATTGCCTGTTTGGGGTTAACTCCCCCGCGACGCCCCGCCATTGCAACATTATTGTCATTGTCTGTGGCTGCTGTGCCGTTCCATCGTCGCCGCTGCTACTCCCGAGAGGCGAAGTGCTGCCTCTCGACCTCAACCCTTTCTTTTACAAAGGCCGTCTCCCAGTTCCTCCGTCCCTCAAGCTCGATTTCTACCTCGATAACTCTCACCCTCCGAGCAGCCAACATGTCGACCGCTACCACTACCACTGTTGCCGAGCCCATCACGGCCGAGACGATCCTTCGTCTCTTTCCCGACATCGACACGAGGAGCGATGCGCTCGAGGGTCACGATGAAGAACAGATCCGCTTGATGGACGAGGTCTGCATTGTCACCGACGAGAACGACCTCCCCATTGGCACTGCCAGCAAGAAGCTCTGTAAGTGTGCAGACGAGAAAGAAGAGTGCTCCATTGGCATAGCCCGCTGACTGACACCACTCCCACAGGCCATCTTATGACCAACATCGATAAGGGTCTTCTTCACAGAGCCTTCTCCGTTTTCCTCTTCAACGACAAGAACGAGCTTCTCCTCCAGCAGCGCGCCACCGAAAAGATCACCTTCCCCGACATGTGGACCAACACCTGCTGCTCGCATCCTCTGAACCTTGCCAACGAGACCGGATCGACCCTTCCCGATGCTGTCACTGGTGTCAAAAATGCTGCCCGGAGGAAACTGGACCACGAGTTGGGCATCAAGCAGGAGCAGGTTCCCTTTGAGGATTTCCGTTTCCTTACCCGCATCCACTACAAAGCTCCCAGCAACGGAAAGTGGGGCGAACACGAGAGTAAGTACTGCACGACGACAAGTTTGAGGTGGTGGTGTTATACTAACAGATACACTCTAGTTGATTACATTCTCTTCATCAAGGCCAACCCCGAGGTCAATGCCAACCTGAACGAGGTCCAGGCCACACAGTGGGTTTCTGCCGAGAAGCTCAAGGAGATGTTCAAGGACCCATCTCTCAAGTTCACTCCCTGGTTCAAGCTCATCTGCGAGTCCATGCTCTTCGAATGGTGGGCTTCTCTCGACAACGGTCTCGAGAAGTACACCGACGAGCAGGAGATCCGCCGCATGCTTCACTAAGCGAGTGCAAGCGCGGAAGAGAAACGCGATGAACGAGAGAGTACCATCGTGTGGAGGCGAGCATATTGAAAGAAAGAAAGATACCATTACCTGCCGGATTTACACCTTTTTGCAGCCAGACAGGACCTATAACTCTAATCGTATTACCTACGTTCACCCAACGCCGAGATATCCGCTTTTGTGCGCTTGACGAATAAGACGTCGTGCAAAGAGCCATTTTAGTTTCTGGTTTCGTTTTCTTGCGTCACTCACGGTTGGCGCTCAGCAGGATTGTTCATTCAAGAGGAGTATTGAGGGGCGGAGGGGAAGGCAAATAGAGGACAAAGAATATGTTACACATCCACAACCACCGAATGTCCTGAACGCCTTGATTTTGAGGGTCTTGGAATGGTATCCCTATTTGGTAGCACTGGGAAATGACATGCGTTGCGATAAGAAACATTGCGGAGGTTGTGCAAGCCTGTGGATGGAAGGATTGGAAAAGAACTGGTGAGCATTACCAACCACCTTCAAAACCGGGATACCGTCTTATCTCAAGACATATCAACATGTTATTCCCTTTTCGTCACTAAGCTTCTCCATCCAGGACTTGATTGATCAGTTGTAGGGCGGCCGAGAGAGCAATGGCTGCGTCACCTGATCACTTTGCATGACTCTATTCCTGAAGCCAAGGCCAACAACAAATCGATCGTCCCGTTGCAAAGCGCCTTGGTGCTCATGGACGAGGACCTCTGATTGGATAATATGAGGCAATAGAGACAATTCGGGGTGCTCCGAGACGGGGCCTCAGCCGGTCATGTTTTAAGCCGATCTCTTCCTCCCGCCTCGCCCGCCAGCCATCAAGGTGCCACCGGTGCTCCTCATCATCTCGTCCAATTCTCCTCTCCCACGCTGCATATCGCCTCTGCCTATCGGTGTTTGCTGATCTTCAACACCGAATTCTAGCCAGGACCCCCACAGGCGTTGAACATCAACCCGGTACATGCCCTCGTGGTGTTAAGCTTCGTATGATGTCGTCTGTCGACCTAGGGAAGAATTGCTCTCCAATCATCCGCGGCAACGCGTCTCCCCCTACCCGACCCCAGACACAAGATCCTTGTTCCCCCAGGACCAATTCTCCGAAGTGTTTCTGGGGTATCATCGTCGTTCCCAGTGGGATGGTCAGATCATGAGAAGAAGAAGATCAAGAGCAAGTGTGCGGCTCTCTCTTTCTCTTTCTCACATTGCCTATGGGCTATTCTTCTCTGGTCAGACATGCAATAGCTTCCCGTTTGTTTGCTGCATCTCCGCTCTGCCCAACTCAGTCCAGTGACTCTAGACCCCTGTCTCATTACGTCTGTCCAAGACATCGGTACGGGATGTTGGGTTATCACCACCTTCAGCTACCCGTGGGCTTGAGGGGCTTGCTGTCGTCAGTGCGACCGCTCGTCTGAATGATGATGGATGGGGGTTGGTCAGGGTGGAGGAACAAAGCCAGTAGGTCAGCCACCTTCAACCCACGGGGTACATATTTCTGATCGTGCCTCCTCATGAGATGCTGTTTCTGTTTCCCTTGATTCTTCTCTCATCCAACGTCATCTTCTCAGGCAACAACAAAACATAGTTACCCAAAGTCCCCTTTCCGGGGCCCATATTCACAAGGGTTGAGAGTAGCTCACTGTTCCTCTCGTGCTCAATTCTCACCCGGTTACCTACATTAACTTCCTACTACGAATAAGCTCCAACGATCAGAATTGATCATCCGAATCATATACGCTACCTTGACCTTACACTGCTCATATTTTCTACCCCCATACGTGACCAAATCTCTCGCCTCGATTGCCTGTTGAGCCGCCGAACTTCGGTTCATACAATCAGCACACTAACACCACATACACACAAGGACCGTTCGTCGGAAAGGTCTTATTGATGTCGGCTGACCTCCGCACCGCCCTCAACTGTCTTCGACACCCATCTAGATTTATGCCCGTCTCGAGAAGTCAACTCTCGAGAGTCCATACGGGTGATAGTATACAAAATATATCATCAGACGTATAAACAGAGTTAGTGCCATGCTCCCTCATTTCCCCTTACTATTCGTCCTCCATGCTTTGATTTGTATTACACGGACTCAATGGTAGTGTCCGAAAGGACATCTACTTGGGCTTTTTTCTCATTTTTCTTAACCATTCCTACGTTCCGCCATGATGCTTCAGTTGTCCCATAGAGTATACCGGCTTACACCTCGGGTGATTTAAAAGGAACCGCTGCCCATCATGGCGACCGTTAATACCAGTAATAATTCAATTACTAGTAACTCAACTACCACCAGCGATAACGCTGTCGCTATCGCAACCTCTACTCCGGCAGTAACCGTCATCGAGCTCAAGCGATACTCCCTGGTGCCTCCGAAATGGCAAGAAACCGTTCGTGTAGCCGGCATGTCGGAGTGCCGTGAGGCCGCACTCTCCCTGGCCCACGCTTTCGCTGCCGACGATTACGCACAGTATCTTGTCAATACGGAGGATAACCCTGATGACGAGAAGACTGTCGTCGTCGGTACAGGAGGCGGCAGCAGCAGCAGCAGCAGAGGCGCAGTAGTGTCTAGTGGCACCATCATGACCCCAGAGGACAAGTGGAAGCTGCACGTGGACATCATGACCTATGCCGTCGCGATGCATTGTCTCAACGGGCTGGTGACGACGATTGGTCCGGAATATGATAGTGTTGCGCTTTGGTAAGTCCTTTTTCTTTGTTCCTTCCTGTCCAGTCAGTCGGTCGAGACTACCTACTTTCATCAGCACTTGAGATTGAGCTATACCGTCTGTCGTCTAGAGAAGATGATTTCCATGACGAGAAATCACAAGCAGAAAGCAAGTCTTGGCTAACACATACACACTGACTCCATTTGCCGTGCGTGCCAAAAACCTCGAGCTCCGTGGGCGCGGGCTTCATTCGACCTTCGACCAGATAAAAGGTAAGGTTATGTTAGGTAAGGTACTAAAAGACGAGCCTAAAGGTCCTTTCGAAGCCCGCCGCATTATGCGAGAGAGCGTCGCGGGGTTTTTGCAGTCAACGCACGGTAACTGTGAGATCTCAGTGTGTGATCAAACATTAACAGGCTCCCACCTGGTCGCGATCTTGATAGCTGGTGGGTGCTGTTCCGCAGCGGGGCCTGGCGGCTCTACTATCAGCTTTCCGCTGAGGGCAGGAAGCGCTACTTTGACGAGGTAGTCCCGCTCCTGCACGACACCAAGTCCGCGGTCCTGGGAGAGAGGGATCACGATGCCTGGTACTTGGTGTACCTGGGCACGAAGCCGAGCTCCCAAGGGAGGGGGTATGCGGGGAAGTTGTTGAGGGCTGCGATTCAGAGGGTGAGTCTTGCGATGTCTGGCTCAAAAGAATATTGTTAAGAGGGAAAAGTGGCAAGTTAACAAGAGGTTTGATGAACATAATCTAGGCCGACGCCGAAAACAGACCCATGTATCTCGAGTCCAGCTCGCTCGCCAACAACTCCTACTACCAGAAGTTCGGCTTCGAGATCAAGAGGGACATCTTCCTGAAGCGTGGACGGAACCCCGTCCGCTTGTCCATCATGGTCCGCGAGCCCAATGCCTCCTCTGGCATTAATCCCACAAACACCCGCCAGGATGTTGTTACTGCTCCGTCGACAATGACAACTAGTAACCAACTTATTGGATCCAGGGTCAAGTTCCCTATCGTCAGCTCCCAGCATCACCATGGTTTTGCTCATGGCCATTACCATGTTGGTCTGGGAGTGGGAGGTAAGAAGCTGATGTAGGTTGTTGGTGGCATGGTTGTATTTCGAGGAGGATACTCAGATTGGACATTTACTTTTGGATATTTTACCGTTTGACTTCAGACCGCGAGATTCAACTGCTGAATCTATGACTTTCGTTAACTGATTTTTAAGAGTGGGACGTTCTGGGCTTCAAGTTTCGGTACTCTCGAGATGGAACGGACGACATTAAGTTGCACACCAATTATGGTACACACACTCCTTTGGTAATTCGACTGTCAGGCCTGCCAGAATGTTAGCCGTTGACTATGCAACAAGTCAGACACACCGTTTCTACCTCAATTGACTCGGGTATATTCTCTTCAGCTCTTTAATAAACGCAAAACCGCGAAAACATGATTCCATCCATTCCTGTCCGTTCTTATAAAACATCAAAACCTTGCGGGCGCCATTCGTTTCCTCATCCAGATAGGTCGACCAACACAAACATGCTCCTCTTCAAACTTTTCCTGAGTTTTGCCCACCTTTTTCCTCCTCTGGTGGTATTTCAAGCATGTCCCGCCAGCACCACTTTCTCGGCCTCGTCATTCTCGGTCACTCTTGTGTCCCTGTGCGCCGTTCCTGGCAAGTGTTGTGGGTAGTAGAGACTCGACACGCAAGGCTTCCTCCAGAAACCGAGCACGCCTGAACTAATAATCCAGAATAGCCCACGTCTCATCATCCTGCGTGGTGTAAATGATACCCTGTCCCAGCAACTCGTCCGCCGCATTGACGATATCCCTAACGTTCATCCTCGTGCCCTGCGCAATCACATGCAAATTGACACCCTCTGTCCCGCCAGGCGAGTTGTTGATGAAGTTGCAAATGGTCTGCGCATTCCGCGAGCACGTCGCCAGCCTCGCCCGCATCGCGCTGTTTCCTCCACCAGGGCCAGCGCCGCCCATAGCGACATCAGCGCCTCCTCCTCCGGCTCCGTATCCCTGATCGACAAACATGCTGTCTCCTCCACCGTCTTGTTTCGCGCCACCGGCACCTGCTGCGCCCTTGCTGAAGAACAGATGCACGTATGTCGCCTCGAGCAGGTGGTAATTGACCTCGTTGAAATCCTCAATCTGGCGTATGAAGTTGGCGCTGACGTGTTTCTTGCCGCCGAGGCTCTTGAGACGACCCCACACGCGGACAAAGGCGTCGGGGGCAATAGCACCGGCGCCGCTGCCGTTCTCGCCTTCGCCTTGTGCTTCCGAGTCGACCCACTTCTTGACGTCGATGGCGCCCGTGCCGTCGTCGATCTTGTACGTGATGTTGGTCGGTTGAGGCTTGACCGAGCGCACTTGGCCCACGATGGTCACTTGGGTTATGGGGTGGCCATCGATGGTGGGATCCATGCCGGGGTAGGTGTCTTCCCAGTCGAGGAGTTGCTTGATGGTTACGGGGCGGAGGGATTCGTCGGCGTACTGTTTTGGCGAAGAAAAGAATTGTCAGTACACTGCGTGCGGACGGGAGGGAGGGAGGATGAAAGGGTAGTGGGATTAGGGAGAACTTACCTTGGAACCACCGCCTTGACTACCACCTTGCTGAGATCCGGCCATGAAGCCACCGGCATCACCACCACCATATCCGCCGTAGCCCGCTGTCAAAGTCACATACAGTTAGCTAACGGGAGGGAGGTATGCAGGGGTCTGGGAAAGCAGCTGAGGCAGCTGGTATGGAACGCCTTACCCATGACTGTACAACGCTATCTCTTCTCGGTGATTGAATGAAGAGTCGATTAACGTTCCTTCTTGTCGCAAGAAATCTAGACGTAGGCAATAGTTGCGATGGTCGAGCTGGTATCAAACGGTGGATTGCGGAGTGAAAGATTGAAGCTGGGAGACGCGTTTGGACGCGCCCGGAGGCAAGCAAACACTAAACGCGGACCCCACTGTCCCACTGTAAGTAGGGGCGGGGACGAGCAGCAGGCAGCAGCCTATTAAGGGTTAGGGTTGTGTAGCTGATAAATGACGTTATAGTACCCGCCTCTCTTAACCAGCATCCCTTGCTCTTTGTTCAGGTGGGTGAGGGCCTATGAATGAAACAAGCATTTATACTAATAACATGGCGACGTGAAGCTATCACGCCATTGGAAAAGTGCTGATGGTATAGATTTCTGTTCTAGTACTATTAACGTTGTATACCTAGCTCAACTTCCGTCTGGTTACACCCAATGTCTCGAACGGCAATGTCGTCCCGAGGCGCCACTCTCGTCGCCGAAGACGAGGAAGAAAACGGCATTTACGCCAATGGCAGAGGAGTCGCAGGATGCTCGTGCTGTGGTGTGAATCCTTCATCACTGCTTAAGCCCGTTGACCTCTCCGACAGGCCTGACACCAGTCTCCTTGACGAGGACGAAAACGCGTTCTGTCTCTGGCCGCTTTTCGGTCCTTTACTATTCGAAAATGAAAGCAGTGACTGTAGAGATCACTGCGCTAATGAGAGAAGTACGTCTTCTAAATTGGGTCCTCTCGATCATGCTACTTTGACCCTACTTCCTGGAGTTCAGTCTGAATGAGTGAACCATTATGACTGATGCCAGAACCGCAAATAGCGTTCCTCTCCTTCCTGCGTTTATCGATTTACATGGCCATCGTTTCCGTCGCCATAGTTCTCTCGTTCCACCTTCGCAAGGCAGCTAGCCCTCTAGAGTTGCGTATGGCGAAGCCATTGGGTATCATATTCTGGGGACTATCTGTCTCTTGCCTTGCTGTCGGAGTTGCCAATTATATCCGTACGTCGTGGTTTCCTTTGAGTTTCTCATCTCAACATCCGAATCAAAGACTTTAAAAAGGTGACGCTAACATGAGCTGGCTGATGTGCTCCAGAAACCGTGAACAAGTTCAGTCGTAGGGCGGCAATTGTACAGACGGGTTGGAGAACACAAATTGTAAGCAGAGAGACATTCTTCCCTTCTGGGGTGTTATAACTAACCAATTGTGTGTAATGCGCAGATCATGGGCATTATAGCACTGTCTATAGTTGGGGCATGTTTCACGCTTTTAGTTGTGAATAAGTATGGGGAACAAGCTGAGGAGTAGTGGTAGATGGGGACATGATGCGAAACTTAACTGCGTAAAGATCTTGCAAAAGATCGAATTAACTACAATCCAAGACTGGTTTGTTTGTTAGCTCGAGACCTCCGGTCATTCTTCCTAGGCGTTTACATGCCTAATTGATCCCTTTCGTCCCTTATCAAAAGCGTAATTTTACATTGCATATACCCTCCTGACTCTCATCCCTATCTTTTCAAATTGTGCTTGACCATTCAATACTATCATCATAAGGTTTAAGACAGTTTGGGATAGATATGGTCCAGTATGATAGGTGTACCGAGCTAACAAACAAACCAGCATTGTATTGTAGATCAGGAAGGTTATCACCGAGTTGTCTCAATGCTCCATACACTTGTGGGAGACCTTTCAGGCGGGCAATTGTCTGGAACCACCGACATGAGACATCGGGAAAAGGAATGCTAGCATCAACATAAATATCCAAGACTACCATCATCATAACCAGCATCACTCATCCACCCTCATCACCTATTACAAAACAAATCCTCCACCCCTCCCCTCCTAACCCCGCTAACCAAAATCTCCCCTTCATACTCCTCATCCTCCTCATTCTCACCCTCATTTATTTGACTCTTCCCCTTCTCCAACTTCCCACAACCCACCGCCCTCCTAAACTTGTCCACAAATTCCCCTGCCCTCTTATCCACCTCTGCCAAGCTTGTCGTCCTTCCCTCCCAATCCAGCAACGGCATGTCACCAAAGGGCAAGAGGTTGCCTCCGGTGGGTAAGCTATCCAGCAGCAAACCCGGGGAGAGGCTGATTTCGTCCTTCTGTTGTCGGTATTTTGGTTCTGTCCCCCCCAGGTGGTCGTCCTGGCGGTACTCCTCCGGCGCCCGATAAAGCTCGTTATGCACGGTCGCCAGGTTCCTCGCCGTCTGCGGGCTAGGGTAAAGAGTGAAGTAGCCGCGGGCGCGGGCGAGACGGAGGGCGTGTTCGAGCCAGGAGGGGTAGTGCTTACTTATTTGTTTTTGGGTGAAGAAGGTTAAAGCAGTGTTGGTAGAGCTATCATGTTGTTGATGATGGGCAAATTCGAGTGATTTGGACACGAGATTATGGAGTTCCCTCCACTTTTGGCCGCTGTAGAGGATGGCGCTGCTGCCGGGGGCTTGCCAGAGGAACGGGGTGTTGGTATTAGTGGGTGTTTTCTTTTGTTGTTGTTTTTGTTGTGCGGTAGCAGCTTTCTTGGAGGCAGAGGGCGGGCTGAAGGGTTTAAGGGCATCGCCTGGGTGCGTCGAGGGAAGCTCTAGACTGATACCGAGGAGGCGAGAGTCCCATTGTTGCATGGTGGCGGGGACGGAGTAGCTGTATTCAAGGAGTGCGTATTTGAGGTCTGTACAATCTGTCGTGAGCATTTGCCCTCCAAAACATATATGTAACATGATGTGATTCAGTGGCTTACAGTGATAAAAACTAAGGGACAACTCGGTATTCGGGGAGAGAACCAAAACATGAGAGTGCTGGTTGGAGGGCCAGAAAGACTCGAGGAATCGCACTGAGCTCTCTTCCTCCGTCAAGCTCTTACGCGGTATACGGTGGCGAACAGTCAGTTGACTAACATGGGTCGGGTTATAAGCTCGGGAAGGCGGCCACTGGAAGTTCTGCAGATATTGAGTCGTAGCGGCATCAATATCGTGAGAAAGCTCGATGGTCAAGTGCGGAACAGCACAAGCGGTGAAATCCGCTGCCGACAGAGACTTGAGCAGTCGAATAAGGCTTCCCGAGGTGCCGGCTGAGGCGTAGACCAAGATCTCGACATTGACTTTGTTCCAGGCTTTGTTTGTTGACATTAGCCATGGTCATTTTGTAGGACAGTCAACCGGCCGGTCGTCTCCTCACCTGCTAAAGAAGCGCTATCCAGCTTCGGTATCCAAGCAAGGCGTTTCTGTGTGCCCTGAGGGAGTTCGATCAAAGGGAATCCCTCCTCAGATGCCTGGTCTCTTGCAGCGGGAAGGAAATACTCCTCTTCTTCGCCCGAAGCATCTACGAGCACAGCTTGCGGGTGCATGTATGTTTGGATATGGTCTACAGATTGCAAGTCAGATATCTACAGCAAACAAATTCTGTGGGAGAGGTTCATATTTACGGAAAGCACGACCTACGCCCTTGGAGAGGCGTGCCTTGGTCGACTCGGTCGATTTGTCCAGACGGGCGTCTACAGCTGTGTCAGCAACACGGGTCATTGTTAACCACTTTCTGCTACAAAAAGAGCTCTATCATACCGTGAAATATGATCTGGCAAGACTGGTCGATGCCATTGATAGCCTGGAGCTCTTCCATGTCGATGTCACTTCTGCTCATGAGCGCAAAATGCACGTAGCTCCTCAACTCGGTCCCCATCTGGCAAGCCATTGGCAGCAACTTGGCAGCGCTCTTAGGGCTGGATGCCGCAAACAGTATGTTCTTATTTGTGGGAGACGTTCCTTGGGTCTCGTAAATAGCTTGTAAGGACACAGCGAGGTTTGGAAACGTGATCGGGCCACTGTAACCAACATCTGACACAGGCTTTATGTCGACTTTAGGGACAGGTTTTGGTCTCGGCTTGACGGTCTCGGGCTTTGCTGGTGGCTTCCAAGGACGATCTGGATTCAACTTGGGAACATTCGGTGCGTTCGAGGGGTGTTGAGCGGGTGTATAGACAGGGTGTCGATGGTCTCGAATTGGGTTGTCTGTCGGTATGTTGTGTACGAATAGGTAGACGAAGACGGCGACCGTCAAGGCTATAGCGAGACGTTTCAATGTCTTACGAGGAGGAATCCGAGCGGCGTTCCATTGCGAAGATCGCATTGGAGGAATCTTAGTCCGTCTATGATCGTCGTCTTTCTTTCCAAGCTCCTCGTTCGTCATGAACAAAGTGGCCATGGCGACCTAGAGTCGACAAGCAGATGGGCGTGCCGAGTAACGGTTGGCTGGCTTCGAGCTAGTTTAGACGATGTTAGAAGAAGGCGCGCTTTGTATAGGCATCAGTAGATGTTATCGCCCCAGGTTTGCGATCCGAAGATTAATGTTGACACCTCACGCGCCTGATGTTTCGAAGTGGTTGTCGTGAGGTCATTCGCGTACGTTTTGCGATTGCGCCACGTAAAGACAATGTCGAGGAACGAAGCTGGGCGAATGTCTTTGTCCCTCAGTTTCGGCTCACTCCCGGTGTTTCAGATCCCTGTAGACCTGCTACAGCAAGCTCAACGGATGATGTCGGTAACTTGGGATGGAAGGACAAAGTCCATCTGCTTGCAGTCTGATGTTTGATGAGGAATGCTTCCAGAGCTTCGGAATTGGATTGAAAGATTGATGCGATAACGGTAACAACCCGTGGCTCAAGGATAAAGTGCAAAGGACGGCAGTTCCGCAGTCGCCTGTCGATCTCATCCCCACTTGCCAAGACAAGCTCCGGGGTCCAAGCAGTTGGGGAAGTCCCACTTGAGTAGCTGGGGATCCCTGTCTCTGTGGAATGAGTGGGCCCGACGGTTCTCGTCGACGGGTGGGGTACGAACAGTTTCCATCGCAATTGGAGAAAAGCTCTGGATTTTTTCTGCAAGTTTTCTTCTCTTCCCATCATTTTCCAAAGTCCATTGACTCTCATCAACAGCTTTTTCTCCGCCTGCTTCCCACATCGGCACTTATAACCTACCTTTGATCACCCAATATCTTATTTACTCGAAAATCCTATACACACTACTGGATATTACACAATGGGCAAGGCTCGCAAAAACAGAGTCCGGGCTAATCGCGCCGACCCCATCGCGAAGGCAGTGAAGCCGCCCTCGGACCCCGAGCTCGCTGCGTTGCGCGAGAGCCGCATTCTCCCCGTCGTCAAGGACCTACAGAGCGCCGACATCAAGTCTCGCACAGCCGCTGCTGGTGCCATCGCAAACATTGTCCAGGACACCAAGTGCAGAAAGCTTCTGCTCCGCGAACAAATCGTTCCCATCGTTCTTACCGAGACCCTTACCGACAACAGCATTGACAGTCGCGCCGCCGGCTGGGAGATCCTCAAGGTTCTCGTCCAGGAGGAGGAGAGTGACTTCTGCGTCCACCTTTACAGGCTCGACCTCCTAACCGCCATCGAACATGCCGCCAAGGCCCTCAACGAAACCCTTGCATCAACCGAGCCTCCCTTTGCGAAACTCACAAAGGCCCAGCAGCGCATCGTATGGGATATGAGCAACTCCCTCCTCGTCCTTCTCAACTCCCTTGCACTCGCTCGCGATGAGATCCTTGACGCCATTGTCGCCAACCAGAACGTCATTCGCTTCCTCTTCCGCATTGTAGCCACCGATGTCGTTCCCCAGGAGTCCTTCGAGGAGACACTCTCCTGCCTCATGACGCTCTCCGAAGACAACCTACCGCTCGGACAAGCCATTACCGACGACCAAGAGACCCGTTGCTACGACAAACTACTCGAGCTTGTGGCTGCTGGCGGCCCCCGCTCCGTGCTTGCTTGCGGCGTCCTTCACAACGTGTTTGCGTCGCTCCAGTGGCTGGATCACAGCCCAGGCAAGGATGGTGCTTGCGATGCCGTGCTTGTGCCGAGCTTGTCCAAGGCCTTGGAGCAGCCTCCTCCGAGTAATAAGGACAATGGCCAGGCCGACAGCTGGGCTCAGATGATGCAGGCCGCTCTCGAAATCGTGGCCTCGATAGGAACGGACTTGCAGACAGCACTGGAAAAGGGCAATCGCCCTGTGCCAGGTGCTGCTGCCAAGGATGAAGAGTGGAATGGGATCGAGGACACAGAGAAAGATGACGATGCTATGGATGTTGACGAGGGCTCTGGTGACGACAATGACGAGGACGAGGACAAGGAGGATGAGGAGGAAGACGATGAAGAAGAGGGTGATTCAGACGATGAGGAGTTCGACGAAGCCGACTTGGAGAAGGTTACCGGCATGGACTCCGAAGACGAGAGCGAAGAGAACCTCGACGATCTACCCACCCTCCGCGAACTTATCAACAAGGCGATTCCTCAGCTTATCCGACTGACCAATATCGCCGTGGATGATGACAACAGCATAGCCATTCAGGGCCACGCCATTAGCGCGCTCAATAACATTGCCTGGACCATTTCATGCATCGACTTCTCTGAAGGCGAGAACACCAACATTTGGAAGGCGTGGGCGCCTGCTGGAAAGAGAATCTGGCAGCGTACCATCTCTCCCATCCTCGAAGCCGACAACGCCGACCTGCAGCTTGCCACGCAATTGACCAGTCTCGCTTGGGCTGTGGCCCGCAGCCTCAGCGGCACCACCCCTCTCGGCAAGAACGAGCACCGCAAGTTCATGTCTCTTTACCAGGTGTCCAAGGCGCAACAAAATGTCATCACGCCTGATGAAAACAAGGAGCAACAACCTCAGGAGGATCCTTTCCAAGGCCTTGGCGTCAAGTGCATTGGTGTTCTCGGCGCTCTTGCTCGCGACCCCGCCCCTATCGATATCAACAGGGAGGTTGGTGTCTTCTTGATGACCCTTCTCGGTAGTGCCGGGGAGCCCGGTGTTGCTCCGGCGGACATCATTCAGGCACTCAACGAAGTTTTCGATATCTACGGTGATGAGGAGTACACGTGTGACGCCGAGGTGTTCTGGAAGGATGGCTTCCTCAGCCACTTGGAGGAGCTCCAGCCCAAGTTGAAGGCAGTTGCCAAGGGCATCAACAAGAGGACCTTTGAGGAGCTCAGGATAAAGGCCGATGAGGCTATGGTAAACCTGGGAAGGTTTGTGCAGTACAAGAAGAAGCATGCGCCCAAGTCAAAGGAGGTAAAGAAGTAAATCTTCAGTTTCTGGGTCTCAGGGTTAGTCGCATAGTGTTGGAATCTTCGTCGTCGAATTCACACAAATCTGCGATATACTCACATAAAGGTACGCACAACCTACAAGTTACAAAGGAGACGGGGAAGCATTTACAAGGGGGAAGACGAAGACAAGCAGGTTATCGAGAAAAGATAGGAGGAGGGGGAGGGAGATACCCGACGTACCGTCAAATTAGCTGATAGAACATTAGAGGAATGTGAAGAGTGGTGCAGAGCTAGAAATAGAGGAGTCAATATCCATAACACGATTCACGCTCATCGCATGTGTGGGACGACAAACCAATCTTTAAGCGGGAACCTCGACTATCAGATGAGGTAGCTGCTAAGATGATACCTGAGGATGATGATGCCTCCTTGAAGGCTTTGGTCAGGTTCAAAGTAAGAAGTTGTGTTATATCTCTCCAAGTTCTGACTCACATGTATATCCTGTCGCGTATTATGTAGGTCTATTAAGCACCGTGTCTCAAAATCGACCAATTCATGACTCCAGCTTCCTGTATAAAATGCCAATCCTCCAATGCCCGAATCCTAGCTCCCTTCGACCCGGTATAAGCTCTGCTGCTGCTGTGTCGTCGAAAACACACATCTTGCCGTTGCCGTAAAGTACTGCTGCGCACACTCATGAGAAAGCTTGCAGGTTCTCTTGTGTCGTTAGTCAGTTCAGCCGATCGGCTTCAACTTCTTTTTCTTTTTCTTATCCGAATCCCCGGACTTGCCCTTTTGGAATGCGCGCCAACTATCGATGCGCTGGTCCCTCGTCTTCTCCCAGTCCTCTTCGTGCTGCCTCTTGCGCTTGCGCTGCTCCATCTCCTCATCCGCTTTCCGCTGCTCGCGGCCTTCTTCCTGCATCTGCGCCTTGAGCTGTCTGCGTCGTCGCTGCTCGTTTTCGATCAGCACAAACTTGGTCTTGTCCTGCCACTTCTTCTCGAACTCGGCCGTCTTGAGTTCCGGGCTGTCGACCGTCCACTTGTTCTCGCGGATCAGCAGCATGCGCGCGTCCGCGATGGCTTCGTCGAGGGTCTGCCGGTGCTTCTCGTCCATCAGTTCCGTCTGCGCCTTCTTCAGCCGGTCAAACGCTTCCGGGGCCAGGGGGTTCTTCGTCTTGTCGGGATGGATCAGCAGCGACTTTTTGCGGTAGGCGATCTTGATGTCGGATTCGGTCACGCCAGGCTTGAGGCCTAGGACTGTGTAGGCGTCGAGCCGGAAGGCTTTGAGGATACGGTCTATTTCGGCATCCTATTGGGATTTGGATTGTTAGACATTTGGTCAATTGACTATGCGAAGGCTGGTGAAACTGGGCGTTGGTGTTGTGGTTTGCTTGCCTTCTCCCACTCCTTGGCTTCGGATTCCAGCACTTCGAGCGCATCTCGAGTGTCGGCAGGAGTTTCATCTTTGACGTCTTTGACGTCTTTCACATCCTTTGCATCCTTCGTGTCTGTCGCCATCTTGTCGCAGAGGGGGATTCGAATGGCCGGGAGAGTCTAGGGTCAGTCAGGATGGTTGTTTTGTGGAAGGCTGTTGAAAGATGGATGCTGTCAACAAAACGGAACGAAACTCCGGGGAAGTTCAGGGCACGAAGTCCAGCAGTTGCGACTTGCGACAGGAGCGCGCAGTGAACGCACGCGGTACTGCCAAGACCCTTGGGTGTAATTGATAAGCTGATAAGGAGATAAGCGTCACATTAGCCCCAACTAAAAAGTCGACCATCCAAAATTTACGGGTTGACGGGCAGGCATTGCTCGCTACAGTTGACAGAGGTCCCCAAGACCCCATATCATCACCAAACTCCAACCCACCCCGTCCGTCTTTGCATCTTCAGTTTGACGACTTTTTGCTGCAATTGACAGCAACTCAACCTTCGCCCATCATGAAAAGACGCGCGGCGTCCCCCACACCGTCCGAGAACGAGGTCGACATTGCCGGTGCTTTGTTCAACGACGATAGCGACTTCGAAAACAACAGCAGCAAGCACCACACCAAGAAGGGTGCCGTTACGAACAGCGGTCTCGACCTCGATTTCAACGATCTCCTCGGTAACGGCGACAATGCGCTACCTAGCTTTAACGACGAGGGCGATGATGGAGACGAAGCCTACATCGCTTCGCTCACACGGGGCGCGCAAAGAAAGTCCTCCAACATCCAGGGCAAATCAGTCAAGAAGGGTGGAGGTTTCCAAGCAATGGGTGCGTAGTCTCCCGACTCCGCGGTATAAGGTCGTGATGCTTGTGGCAGATGCTGATACTTATCCTAGGCCTAAACGCCCATCTCCTCCGAGCGATTACCAGAAAAGGCTTCTCCGTCCCGACCCCCATTCAGCGCAAAGCGATTCCCCTGATCTTAGAGAGAAAGGATGTGGTGGGCATGGCTAGAACCGGTTCGGGAAAGACTGCAGCTTTCGTCATTCCCATGATTGAGAGGCTGAAGGGTCACAGTCCGCGTGTTGGCGCGAGGGCACTCATCATGTCCCCCTCGCGTGAACTTGCGTTGCAGACCCTCAAGGTCGTCAAAGAGCTCGGTAGAGGTACCGATCTCAAGACCGTATTGCTCGTCGGTGGTGACAGCCTGGAGGAGCAGTTCGGTATGATGGCGGCCAACCCCGACATCATCATCGCCACACCCGGTCGTTTCCTCCATCTCAAGGTCGAAATGAGCTTGTCCTTGTCCTCGGTCAAATACGTTGTCTTCGATGAAGCCGATCGTCTTTTCGAAATGGGTTTCGCTACCGAGTTGACCGAAATTCTCCACGCCCTCCCTCCTTCCAGACAGACCCTTCTTTTCTCCGCGACACTCCCATCGTCCTTGGTCGAATTCGCCAGAGCCGGTCTTCAGGAGCCAAGCCTTGTCAGATTGGATGCCGAAACCAAGGTGTCGCCTGATCTTGAGAGTGCGTTCTTCGCAGTAAAGGGCGGTGAAAAGGAGGGTGCCCTTCTTCATATTCTCCACGACGTCATCAAGGTCCCTCTGGGTGCGCCCGAGGGCACAAGGGAAGAGAGTGACGAGTTGCAGGCGAAGAAAAGGAAACGCGAGTATAGGCCCAATCCCAAGGAGAAGCCGACGGAATACTCGACCATTATCTTCACAGCAACGAAGCATCACGTCGAGTACATTCAAAACCTGCTCAAGCTTGCAGGCTTTGCCGTGTCCTACGTTTACGGTTCACTCGACCAGACGGCCCGTTTGATTCAAGTCGACAACTTCCGTAGGGGAAGAACACATATCCTCGTGGTCACCGATGTCGCCGCCCGTGGTATCGATATGCCTGCTCTCGCCAACGTCATCAACTACGATTTTCCATCTCAGCCCAAGATCTTTGTCCATCGTGTTGGCCGTACAGCTCGTGCGGGTCAGCGTGGTTGGGCGTATGGTTTGGTCCGTCAGTCAGACCTTCCATATCTGCTTGATCTACAACTTTTTCTGGGAAGGAAACTTATCATCGGTCACGAGCAAAAGAATCCTTCTTTTGCGGCAGATGTCGTGGTTGGAACACTAAAGAGAGAAGGAGTGGATGTTAACATTGAGTGGGTTGAGAAGGCGCTCAAGGAGAGCGCCGATCTCAATGCTCTGAAGGGTGTCGCCGCAAAGGCCGAGAAGCTCTACATGAAGACGAGGAATTCTGCTTCGAGCCAGAGCGCCAAGAGAGCCCGCGAGGTTGCGCAGTCAAAAGGCTGGACACAACTCCATCCTTTGTTTGGAGAGGAAGCCGCTGAATCCCAGGCAGCTCGTGATGATCTTCTCAGCAGGATAAACCGCTTCAAGCCTCAGGAAACCATCTTCGAGCTTGGACCCAAGGGCAAGTCTAGTCGCAACAAGTCCGCGGAAGTTGTACGAAATATGCGTGCCAGATTCAAGGAGCGCAAGACTACCAACGAAGATGATGACGAGGATGTGGAAATGGAAGACGCCGAGGGTAAGCCTGACGGCGAGGAGATCAATGCGTTCGAAGACTTTGAGGATGAGGGAGAGGAGGAAGACGCGGAAGAAGCGGAGGCCAAGGAAGACCCATACGCCGACGACTCGGACTCGGAGATGGAGGTCACAGTATCCAGCAGCATGCATACGAAGAAGAAGAAGAAGGGTGGCCCGGACAGCTTCCAAGATCCCGAGATCTTCATGTCTTACACGCCCCGCACCACCAGCATGGCGGACGAGAAGGCCTACGGTGTTCACTCGGGCGGCTACAGCGGCAACAGTTTCGTCGAGGCCGCTCGCGACGCTACCATGGACCTGACCAACGACGACAGCGCCAAGAACTTCGGAACTGCTGCGAAGCCCAAAATGCGTTGGGACAAGCGTCACAGCAAGTACGTGGCCGTTGCCAACGACGAGGATGGTTCCAAGGGCGCCAAGATGATTCGCGGCGAGTCCGGTGTCAAGATTGCCGCCTCTTTCAAGAGCGGCCGCTTTGACCGCTGGCGCAAGGACAACCGTCTCGGCAGGTTGCCCACGGTCGGCGAGACAGAGAAGTCACAGCTTGTCCGCAACTTCGGTGCTCAACCTGGCCAGCAGCGGTTCAAGCACAAGATGGAGAAGGCGCCCAAGGATGCGGATAAGTTCAGAGACGACTACCACGTCCGTAAGAAGCGTGTTGCCGAGGCCAAGGAGAAGAGAATCGGCAAGTATAAGGACGGTGAGGGTAGCAAGAGGGAGCTGAAGACTGCTACGGATATCCGTAAGGCGAGGGCGATCGCGGAGAAGAAGCGGGAGAAGAACGCTAGACCCGCGAAGAGGCAGAAGAGGTAAAAGCGGTTGTTGTCAAATTAATACCAAGGAACGGCGGTTTGTTTCAGCAGCAGCAGCAGCAAATAGCACTAGCTAGCACAATTGGTTATCGGTTTCAAGGCTCTACCTTATGACGATCTGAATTCTTGAATGTCGGTCACATCAAGGGGGATGTTCGATGGCGTACCCTAACCCTGAGCGTCTATCAACCTCTTACTATGTATCAGTCCCCATTGATGCATCACATTGGACCTCACCAACCAGCAACGCAAAACGCACCCAACAGCCCAAGTTGCCCAACAGAATATGACTGAACGAACCAACGAATTGCTGTCTTCCAAAGGATAGTTACATCATCATACCCCGGATATGGTGCCCGAACAAAACGTAGTTTCGCCGTTGGTAAGGTGGTAACAACAGTTGGGTAGGGTCGAACGGTGCGCTTTACCACGTGCAACCGCTGCAGGCCCAAAGCCCAAAGCCGGTTTTGGGTATCATCATTGTTTTTAGTAGGCACGATGTCTTCATTGTGACATCGCTATAGTACATTGTAGATGTGTTCGCTGGGCCGCCTTGATTGATGAGACATGGAAATTTTGGGTTTGGCATGCATCACCCACCGCTTTTGAGCTGTTGATTGATGGGATTGTTGCCATCCGTCAGACGGCGGTCAAGGGTTGAGTGGCTTGCACAAAAAAGAAGAAGACAAACCGATGTATATACCATCATGGAGGTATGTGAAAAAGCCCCCGCCCAACGGCACTACACCATCAAGTAAGTACGTGTAGATGATTTTGACCAATGCTGGTGACCAAACGTCCGGATATCCAGGGCAAACGGTGTTACCAACTTCAATCTGGGTGTCGTGGGGTGTAGTGCACAAAGGCCAGGTCGGGGAAGGAAAAACAAGCCTTCGCCAATTCTCAATGACGATGGGGGTATCCCCGTTACACAAAGCGGGAAATGGGGAAGATCTTAATCATTCATCAGCAGCGGGAGATCTCTTGGACATTCCATGGCAATCGCTTGGCGAAAGCTTGATTACACATTGTTCTTTTTCAAGCCTCCCCTCCCGTTCCCGGAAAAGGAGTACGAATACGGTACTGCACCTGTAACCACCCTATGTCGTAAGAAAGGCGGTGGCCGGTACATTTCAGTTTGTCTCTTATCGGCACCCAAATATAGCATCGAGATCCTGTAGGTTACGGGCATGGTATTACATGGTTTGTTTTGTTTCGTTTCCTGGCAGTTTTGAATCTTCATGGTGTTTTGGATAAGAAGAGTAAAAGTCAAGCGTGGATACCGACGTCATACAGGGGTTGTGGCCTAGACGAACGGGACTGCCAAGTTTTCTTTCGGTTGCTTCCGAACGGGCAGGGACGTGGGGAGGGAAGCAACTCCCACTTCCTTGCATATGAGGTACCTACCTCTATGCCACTCTTCCTTGCCAGCAGTTGGTGAAGCAAGTGGAATGCTGAAAATGTGAAGAGTGGAAGAAGGAGGTGAAGGAGCTTGAGACTGGGACACAAGAGCTTTTGACAAAACGCGAACGCAGATACCGCGGTGAATTGCCCGGTAATTTACAGGGACCAGATGGAACGGACGAGATCTGTGTTACGACTGGACCCTGCGGTGCGGTGGTGCCTGGATAGGCGGCTCCTCTTTTTACGTTATGTTTCCAAGAGATATCCAATTACACTTCCAAACCTGGCATTTCACAGGCGCATGATTACGTGTTCAAGTTAGGTTAGCTAGTAAGGGTCGTGATCCAGTCTTTCTCCATCCCTTGGAGCAAACTGAAATCCCTGATGCGCTGGAGATGGAGTCAGTCTAGCCGCCGTGGAGAATTTCTAGTGTACAGCTCACGATCGTCAAATGCGGAGAGGAGGCGGCCTCCCTTCGTTTGGAGCTCGAGTGGTGATTGTAGAGCATGAACGGGGCACGATGAAAGAATCACCAACAAAGTAGGTAGTTGGTAAGGTCTTATTTGTTGCTGGGAATAACAATGCTGATATTGGTACCAGAAAAGCTCACGTAATAATAGATTACCACATCAATGCTCGCAGGTTTTGCCCCTGTCATCGTCGCCATCGTCACAAGTGAATGGGTATGTAACGGCCACCCAACACATTCTGCCATTCCAACCTTCTTTCCAACAAGATTTCTTTCTCCCTTCGAGAATATTTCACTTGCTAAACAAAAGCTCTGCTCTAATTCTCCTCGCCGTTTTCGGGAAACCATTGCGCTTCTTCTCTATTGCGCATACATTGCCCATTCCCCGAAGATTGTTAACGTGGGATCGGATCGCCAACGTCTCATTTTGTTTAAAGCGTCTAATTTCGGCGCTTTCCTAACTTGTCAGGGAAAATCGCATTCGTCAACTGCGAACCTACAACTGTTCTCCTAGTCGACATCCCGCCCGCTAACACTTTCAACATCATCGCCGAGACTCGCTCCTGGAGGGCGCATTGGCAGTGAAACGATACAAGAACTGCCCAACACCGAGGGCTAGCAAGCTCGCATTTCGACTCACGAGCCACGACCAAGACCGAGACATTCACACCGACTTGCGCATTCTTCCCCGTATTCCAAATTCGAATTGACCCGGCACCCGAACACCTCGCCGGAAAATAACTGCGATTCTACTTCCTACTGTGCAACAACAAGTGGACGGCACGAGACTACGGCTTTTAAGGCGGTCTCTCTGAGCGCGAGCGCGAGCGCAAGTTGAGAAGGAACAGAGAAATTGAGTAACCATGGCTTGTAAGTATCTTGGACCTATCCATTACATCAACACCCCCCAACCCCCAATACCAATCTTCATGCCCTTCACGCTGCGCCCAACGTCAGATCGGCCGCCCTTCGCATACCCTAATTCTCTTTCCCCGCCCAACGGGGCTGTGTTCCTCGTCACTCTTTGTTCCACTCCCAACATTATCATCGAGTGTGGGTCACAAAATTGGTTGATACGGGTCTTGGTTTGGCTCAAGAAGCATTCCACGCTATGAAACAACTCTAATGCGATGGCTCATCATCTAGTCAACAATTTCAGGATAAGGCAGGAGGCGCATCGCGTGGGCCGCGACAGCAACTCGATCATGAACCCCTGGCGAAACAAGAATCAGAGAAGCTCGACTTGGGACGTGCCCGAGTCACAACGCTACTCTCAGCCGCCGATGGGGCAGGAAGGACTCGACGATACATCGCCCATCAAACACTCAGTAACGGCGCCATCACGGGTATTGAATGGCTACGACAGTGCAAATGGAGAGCCGTCTTACCCCCAAAAGAATATCGAGATGCACGATATGGAGCCCACCAGCCAGATGACGGGGCTTACGGGGAAGACGAATGTGGAATCGACAGAAGTACCTACGGGTTCCGCACATCAGCGCAACGGTAGCCTTGGCCTTGTGCGCAGGAGGACAACGAACGCAAACGATTCGCGGACCGAACTGAACGGCGCAGGACCAAAGGTGGCCGAGAAGGAAAAGGAGAAGAAGGAGAGGACCTTTTTCAAGCACCTCGAGCCCAAGGAGCCGTTCACCGTGGGAAATCAAATTCGGCGCACACTTTTGGGCTCGTGGCTCAACATCCTGCTCGTCGCGGCGCCGGTCGGTATTGCGATCAACTACGTCGAGGCGGTACCCCGCGTTGCGGTGTTCGTTGTCAACTTCATTGCCATCATCCCTCTTGCGGCAATGCTGGGTTTTGCGACGGAGGAAATTGCTTTGAGGACGGGCGAGGTTATGGGTGGACTTTTGAATGCCAGTTTTGGGTCCGTATCAACTTCATTTGTTAAGGCGGTAGAGAACAGTGCTAACACCCACACAGCAATGCGGTTGAGTTGATTGTAGCTGTTATTGCTCTGACGCACAACGAGATTGTCGTCGTACAGACTTCGCTCATCGGCAGTATCTTGTCCAACCTTCTTCTGGTTATGGGAATGTGCTTCTTCTGCGGTGGTCTTAACAGACGGGAACAGTTCTTCAACACGACCGTCGCCCAGACAGCGGCGAGCTTACTTGCGCTTGCCGTCGCCAGTGTTATTGTGCCTACGGTGTTTGACATGGCTGCCGGTACAAACAACAAGAAGGTGGCGCAACTTTCACGCGGCGTCTCCATTATTCTGCTTTTCGTTTACGGTGGTTATCTTCTATTCCAACTGAAGACTCACTCCGCCATCTTCGCCGAAGAGAGTCAGAAGGTTGCGGGCAAGCCATTCAACTTCCGAGGCGGCAAGGATCTCAAGGAGGGCGCCATTGCCCAGGGCTTGGTAGGCCCTGCTGGTATGGTAGGAGGCCACGCGGTTCCTTCCCACGGCAACAACGAGAGCATCCGCAACCACTTGGACACCGCGCCTCATCTGGAGGACGAGGAGGAGGAGGGCGAGGAGCCGCAGCTGCACTTCATTGTCGCTGTTGCCACCCTAGTCATCTCCACTGTGATCATTGCGTTTTGCGCCGAGTATATGGTCGACGGCATCAGTGCCATTACCGACGGAGATAAAGTCAGCAAAGAGTTCGTTGGCCTTATTCTGTTGCCCATCGTCGGAAATGCCGCCGAGCACGCCACTGCTGTCACGGTCGCGATCAAAGACAAGATGGATCTGGCCATTGGGGTGGCCGTCGGTTCGAGCATGCAGGTCGCCCTTTTCGTCATCCCTCTGCTCGTTATTATCGGCTGGGGAATGGGCATCGAGGAGATGTCGCTCAGCTTCGACACGTTCCAGGTGGCGGTGCTGTTTGTCTCAGTGCTGTTGGTCAACTACCTCATTGCAGATGGAAAAAGCCACTGGCTCGAGGGGATGCTGCTTATTTGTCTGTATCTCATCGTGGCTGTCTGCGCTTGGTGTAAGTTTGATGAAGTCTCCCCAACTCTCTGGCACTCTTCGATGCTAATGTGCTCTTCCTTCCCTACAGTTTACCCGAATTCTTGCGAGGGACCTGATTGTCCCAAGGCGTAGATCATGGCCTGAAAACAACATCATGAAGATGGATACGATGCCCGATTTCGATTAGATACCTATTTATACGATTGAGAGGAATGACACGTTTCAGTTGGCACTGCGGTGTTTATTTGTTTGTTTTTTCCGACTTTCACGACGTAACATTTTTTTTAGCTGGCGCGAGCCATATTCTTTACTAGGGACGAGCAAGCAAGCAGCCCAGTTACACTGCCTACCCAACGTACATCTTTCAGACTAGAGATTATCAGACTGGTGATGAGGGCGTCGAGGCACATTAAAAGGCTGATGAGCATCCATCCATCGGCGGGAAGGGAATGCACGAAAGGGGAAAATTGTCTGCCCAAGGGGTAGGGACAAGAAGGAAGGATAATGGTAAAACCGCTGAGAGGCGAGAATAAAGAGGGAAGACGGGAGGGAGGAAATAGCATAAATGAAGATACGTTTAGCTATCTAAATGAAAGCCTATAAAGTTAACATCAGCAACAAAATTTTAACAAACAAGAAACATTCCCTCGTGGCGCAATTGGCTAGC